ATTATGCACACGGAACCTCCGAAATTTTTCACTCTTATCCGGGAAGACTAGGTGTAAGATCTTACCTACCATAAGATCAGGGGTGTGGTTGAAAGATAGTAGTAAGAAGGAGCCAAGGAGTAGCCGTAGATGCAGAAAGAGCCAGGAAGCTAGAGAAGGGGGCAAAGGGGGTGAGGGGTGGGGGCAGAAAGAGGAGACGAAAGCAGGCGACAGAATACTGTTAGAGAGCAGGAAAAGATGTGAAAGGAGGCAATTTGAGAGAAGAAAATTTTCCGCCGCTATCCGGATCCAAACCCAGGACCTATTGAATGAGAGGCGAATACCTTCACCTCTTGCCCACTAGAGCCCCCAAAAGAAAGTTTGAGATCAGAACTAAACGATAGAAAAGAAATCAGTTTGGTTTGTTTGAGTAAAGAGAAGCACATCGACACAATATTTATCATTTAGTGTTGAGAAAAAAATTAGACAGCAGCGGGAAAATGAAGAAGTAGGACTTGCCATTGGCGCCCTCCAGCCACCCGCCAAAAATGTACTGCATACAGACTTTTCTCTTTTAACATTATTACAAAAAATCGGTCGATTGGCCTAGTATTGTTTAAAGCAAACAAACAAACAAACAAATAAGCAAACAAACAAACACAAATATTTAAAAAATATCAGGCTTAAAAACAGAAAAAGGAATGACGTCAGCACAGTAGATAAATTGCTAACAGCGTGCATGTTGTAGGCCCTATAGTAGGCTAGATACGTCCTGATGGGCCTTATCAATAATTGTTACATCTTTGATATCTCTGAAGGGCGCCCTTAGTTTGTCCAGAGCTGTTGATAGCTCGCCGGCCTAAACCCCAAATTATCACCGCGCCTGCCTCCTCCAACGTGAAGTATGTCCTTGCATGAGGTTTTCTTTTTTCTCCTTTTTTTTTTATTAGAGTTGTCTTTTGTATGCAATATATATTATAACAATTTTTTTAAATGGTTTCTTTTTTTTTCCCCCTTCTAAATTAGGGAAAGAAGGGCTAGGTGTTTTTTACTCCCCGATACACGACTGAAATGACTAAACAAACAAATTAAAGTGTAGTGCTTTTAATATTTCGCCGTGTGGTCTATAAAAGTAATGGTATTCAGGTTAGCAACAGGCTCAAACGGGCAGTGACTCTGGTGGTGGCAGCAAATAATTCTGACGGATGATCATCTTCTTCAGACGGTTACACTTCAGGACAAACGTAAGGTAAGACAACTTTCATCACCATTGCCTTTCTCACCCTGCACCAGGGTAGAGGCCACGGACAAACACCTTCCACCTTTCTCTATCCTGGTCTAGCCTCTTGATGTTATTCCATGCCTTCCCACTTTTGTGTACATCCATTTCTGTGATTCTTCTCTGGTCTTCCCCTTGATCTCTTTCTCTGTGGGTTCCAATCCAAAACTTTCTTTGTTATGCAGCTGCCTGACTTCCTGAGAGTATGTCCAATCCATCGCCACCGCCTTCTTCCTACCTCATCTCTGACTGGGATCTGTTTTGTTTTCCTTAACACTTCGTCGTAAAGACAACTTTACCTCTGCTAAGTCTGCCCTTCAAGGTGGTATGGAAACGGATTGACTGTAAAACAAATGCCCCCCCCCCCCCCCCAGCCCCATGGACACAACTTTGCTCAATTATTAGGAGGTGGGCTGCTTCAACCCTTCCTGTTGGCCTAGCATCTGAGCAGAATCACTGATATAAGGAACTGATATTCGGGAATTAAACTTTATCGTTTACTGCGTGCAATCGAAGATTCTAAAAAAATATAAGATAACCCCAGAACCCGATGTAAGTTTGTCAAGCTGGTACCTGATACATATATCCCTTTTTCCCCATCTTAATTATTTTATTATTATTCTATGTCGACCTATTGCAATTTCTCTTAACATTATACTTTGAAAACAAAAATCCAATTTTTCCTGGCTGATGTATTGGTGCTGTCTTCCTCAAGTTACAAGGCAATTTTCAACAGTGAAAATCAGCGGGTCAAATAACCGACTACTTCTTTGTTTTTGTTCGGGCAAGGCGAACATGATAGGCGTATAACTAATTTTTCCATTGCCCATATAATTTTGTTGACATGTTATTATCATGAAAGATACAGAGAGAGAGAGAGAGAGAGAGAGAGAGAGAGAGAGAGAGAGAGAGAGAGAGTTGTGTAACCGTTATCCTACTTTGGGCAACGTCACGAGGACATTAATCAGCATTAAAAAATTTATTTCCTCAAAGTTGTAAGTTAGAGGTTTTTAAAAATTTCATTAACAAAAAAATCCCGTTGATCTGTCCCCTTCGTTTTCATCATCACCCAGAGCCAGATCTGATACAGACATAGGCGATCTTGGTTCTCCATTCATTCCTTTGCTCGGATGCTCTAAAAAAAAAAAAAGCTACGTTTCCCTGATCTTTCCCCGTTTCCCATATGTTTAGGTTACCCAAGTATGTTGTTCTGGGCTTTCCCCTGCCTCGCTTGCCCTCGATTTTGCCAGTGAGAGCTAGGTGTTCAAGACCCTATATGTCTATTTATGTGTCCCAAAAACTGCATTTGTCGTTTCCAGATTGTTTTTAACATTGAGCGTCCAACGTGGGCTTCATCAAGCACTACGGTACCTCATTTGATTTCTTTTCCTTCCACGATACTCTTAGCAGTCTCCTAAGAAGCCACCTTTCTGTTGCTTCTATTTTATTTTCACTGTCTTTAGTGATTGTCCAGCATTCACAGCCATTACTATGGAAGGGTTGAAGAAACATAGCATTTCAGAACTTTCATTTTGGTGTTCATTGAAATGTTTCTATTTTTCAGGATTGGGCTCATTTTATTGAAACTAGCCTAAGCCATTGTAATTCTCCGTCTTATTTCTGTGTAACATTTGGCATCAGGTGTTATCATATATCCTAGATATTTAAACTGTTGGACTAGTTTGATCTTTTCACCTTTGCTAATGAGATTACGACTAGGCTTTGTTGCTTTTTGGATATTACCATGTATTTTGTTTTCTTTACATTCAACACTAATCCTTTACGTTCACTTTCTATTACAACAGTATCTAGAAGCAATTGAATGTCCTTTTCTGAGCCTGCTATCAAAACTGTGTCATCTGCATACCTGTTTTTTGTTTTTGTAAAGTGTTTTACGGCGCTCGCAACTGCATAGGTCATATGAGCGCGCGGGACACACCTAATAGCTTCAGTTGGTAGGAAATTTTGAATTTTGCCCGGGTGGTGGCCGAAGCCTACTCTTATCGATTTTAGACCACCAAGGGATCTTTAACGTGCGCAACTTGCACACGGGCCCTCCGAGATTTTTCGCCCTTGTCCGAGAAGGCTAGGTGTAGATCTTTCCTACCAGAAGATCAGGGGTGTGACTGAAAGACAGCAGTAAGAAGAAGCGAAGGAGTAGCAGTAGAAAGGCTGTAGAAAGAATCAGGAGCCCAGAGGAGGGGGCAAATGAGGTGAGGGGGTGGGGGCAGAAAGTGGAATTGAAAGCAGACAACAGAACATTGCTAGAGAGCAGGAAATGAGGTGAAAGGAGACAATTTTAGAGAAGAAAATTTTTCGGTCGCTACCCAGATTCGAACCCGGGACCTTTGAATGAGAGGCCAACACCTTAACCTCTAGGCCACGAGAGCCCCCCTGCATATCTGATGTTATTAATATTTTCTCCATTTACTTTGAGACCAGGACATTCTTCTATGTTTCTAAGGATTCTTTCACTGTACATGTTAAAGAGGTCTGGTGACATAACACATCCTTGCGTCACTCCTCGCCTGATCTGCTTATATTCACTTTATTCTCCATTAATTGGCACAGCAGCGTTTTGGTCCCAGTACAAATTCCTGATAATTCTTAGATCTTTTTCATCTTTGTCTAGCTTTTCCAGTACATTCCCTTCGTTTAATACAAGAAAAATTCTGAAATTATGCAAAATGAGCCCCAAAAATGCGAAATTATGCGATTCTGTTAATTTTAACAAAGAATGATAGTGACAATCAGAAATTATGAAAAAAAAGATAAAATTTTGCTAAATTATGCTGGGTGCATAAAACCACGGGGACAGATAGATATCTAAACCTGGGGTAGATCTAAGCCTAATATTCAAGATCTTTTAAAACGTACTGAATTGTCTGTATCTCCTAGCATATACTATAAAAACTTTCCATCGCTGGTGGGCACTGTGGACTCTCGAAATAAGGGCAAACACTAGCTTTGCTATTGCCTAGTGTGCGTACAGCCTTTTTATTTTACGCTGCGTTTGGTTCCAAAATGCTTAAATGATGAGCTTAATAATAATTATTAATATTGAACAGGAAGTACGTCAGAGTACACAATCTCGAATACAACTGGATTACAAGTCTATGGTGCTAATTTTTACGTGAACCGGATGTGACCTTTCTCACTCACGCCGGCCGGTAACGAAACTAAGTAAGACTTGCTATGTTCAGTTGTTGTTATTAGATCTAGACTATTTGTTTTCTTAAACCAAACAGCTGTGAAACGCAACTAATTATTGATTATGTTTTAATAAACAAGACAGGAGAATGGAATGGCTTTGATGTTCATTTGACTTCGAGCAAATGTTAAGGACTGTGTCTCTTATGAAGTTAAGAAAAAAAAAGAAGTAGAAAATCTAGATCTAATAGATCTAATTACTAATAATAGGCCTACCACTCTAAATTAATATAACTATTATAACCTTAGGCTAGGCTAATCTTAGTCAAATCTCTAGCCTAGCCGAGCGAACACTCTCTTGTTCTGTCTTTTATGTAGATCTAGAATCTAGATTTCTTTATTATATATTAGATATCTAGTTATGTTATACGACTACGACGCAACAAGATTCTAGATCTAAGACTTCCTCAAGATCAAGAGCTGCTTTTCTACTTCATCTTGGTCAGCCGAATTTTTATTCACCGCACTATGGAATAATTAATTGCTCTTGACTGAAACACTTGGCTGACTACTGACTTATTAATTTTGGGAAGTTAGACTCCAGATTTAGAGTCTAGATCTAGATCTAGATCTAGAATGGCAAAGTTTATGAAAACCCTTGTTCCTATACTGTTTTTTCATTCAAACTCATTTTGTCTCTGTCGAAGTAGTTGTAGGTTGCGGACATGCTTACCTTATCCTTATCTACTACACAAGAAGGGGTTTCATGATTTTTCCTCATATGGCATCAATTCTTCAGTCATATTAAGATTAAGATCACCAAGTTCTTTCTTGTTAGTCGAGAGTCCGACTCGTCAAAATTTTAAGGCTGATCCTTCTGTTTGTTTAGCAGGAGGTGGTAAGTGAAAGTTTAGTGTACTTAGTCCAATAAAAGTTGGCGGCACAATTTTCTCGATCTACTTTCCCTGTATATTATATATATCTATAAATAAAATTATATAGATCTAGATCTATATATATATATATATATATATATATATATTTTATTAACTCTGCAGAATTTGGGGCTGTGTCCTCACGCTGTGAAATCAGGGACTTGTCAATTTTGGGGCTTGTGGGTTTTTTTTATTTAAGGCCGGCTCTATTTCTCCAAACGCTCGGGTAAATAAACTTGAACTCTATTTCTCCGAACAATTTGTTGGTTATTTGCAAATGGAGTGTGTGTGTAAGAGAGAGAGAGAGAGATAGAGTGTGTGTATAAAAGCCTAATAAGGTGTGAACTGGTGGGGGGGTAAAAGGATTTTTTTTTGTTTACATGAAGTGAAGGATTTTTGTTTTTGCTTTACTGGTGACCAAATGCAAAACAGGTTACTGCCAAAGTCAAGCAGTCTTGTTTTCTTGCTGTACCTTTTGAAGGCATTTTCAAAAGAAATATAGTCAGGGAACGTTGCCTTAACCACAGTTGAAGTGTCTAAATAGTCAGACATTTAAAAATCTCTAGCTCTTGAAATTGAATTCAATGCAAAAAATGCTTCCATCCAGTCCTGGCAGAATGAAAGATGACACAGAGATCTCTCAAATAGATTGGAGAAATAGAGGTCAAGTTTATTTTCCGGAGTATTCGGAGAAATAGGCCTAGTCACTTCTTTTTTTATAATTTGAAAGCTTTTTCATTTGCCTTCTTTCAATGAAAAATTGAATAGAAGTCAAGATATCAGATTGAAGGAAGTGAGTTCGCCTGGTTTCTGTGGTGAAATATATAAGCAAGAAAATAGCTGCCAAAGTCAAAGATTGGTAACTCCAATACATTTAGTTAAAGATGAGTCTATTTTGTGCCTTTATTATTTAAAGTCTTTCAGTAAAATTCACATGAAATGTGGGTATGGACATAAAAGGGGTTGAGAGCTAATAAACAAACGTCGCTAAAAATTGCCTAAAGCTGGCATTCCATATGCCCGAAAAACCGATGCGAACTTCGGGTGCGAATTTCGTGTACGAAATTCGTGTGCAAGGAAAAAAGAGCCCCCGTTCCATATACGCGAAATTCGTATCCGTCATCAGACTGAAATCACGGCACCAGTTCAGTCAGAGCAAGCACACTACGTTGAAAGCAAGAGAATTTGGCTGTGTTAGAACTCCTGTTCCTACGAAAGCAGCTTTAAATTGCTTTGTCCAGACTTGATGATGGTCCTTCCTTCATAAGCTTTGCTTTCTTGGGTCGTTTTCTTTTCGAAGCTTCGGTCCTATCACCGACAGCGCTGGCTGATGTGGCTGCGGCACAGACAGCAATCTTAAGTTATAATTAATGTATGTTAGAAGTTATATTCAAGTGCATTTAATTAAGGAGGGGGGGTGTAAGTGAAATGCTATTTTTAGTTATTACATGATTTAAACGATAAATGATAGCATAGATCATAGATTACATAGACTCCCGAAAGTTTCTCATAACTAAAAAAAAAAAAGTGGTTGCCATGCAAATGACAGCCACCTTGAAAATAAACACTTCTTTTCAGTCTTGGTTTTAACACTTCTCTCTCGAACCAAGGAAATCAACATTTCGACGTTTTCCCACTTACCTAGTGCTTCCATGCTGCTTCGTTCCTTTGAAGTAGATTTGGCGGGAAATAAGCCCCGCCCACTTTACGAAGAATTCGCATGCGAAGAAAAAAGTTTCGCTCCCTCGTGCGAAACAAAATCTTCGCATGCGAATTTCGGACTCGGCCATGCGAAATTCCGGTATATGGATTCACCCAATGACAAAAACGTTTGTGCAAAAAAAATAATTCGCAAGCGAAATTCGCACCCGAAGTTCGCATCGGTTTTTCGGGCATGTGGAATGTCAGCTTAACTGGTGCAAAAAAATGCCTGTTTCTCCGATTTCATTATTTTAACAAGCGCCTTATTTCATCACAATGACCAACATATGGTTAGATTTGACAGCGGCATATTTGTGCAAATTGAATTGAAAGTATTCAAGAAAACGTCAACTGTTAAATGCAAAGCATCAAATTGAAAAGAAAGAAAAATGGGGGGTGGGGGGATCTTTTTTTAATCTTAACTGATGGAGGCATCCCCCTCCCCCGAGAAATTATGAGTGCACAGTAATAATTAGAGAGTATTAAAACTAAACCAAAAAGGTGTGCTCAGAAATGTAGTAGTCTGTTGTCAAATCCGAATCATTCAAATTCAAGCAGATAATTAGAGAACGTCAGATGTACGCCATTAGCCGATAGTTACAGCCATCTTGTTGGTGTCATAAAATAGTGTTCTTCATTCTGACATAAGACAAAAGAAGTTCCAGTTTTACTGTGCTCGCAACTGCATAATAAGGTCATATGAGCGCCTCTGTCTGATCGGAAAAAAAAAAAATATGAAGTAAAAAAAGAAAGCTTTTTTTTTTCATTCTGCAAAGTGTATGATAATGCTCATGGTTTGTTAAAGAATAGGTCTAACAAGATGGCTGTTGCTATATATATATCGGCCTATGGCGTACATCTGACGTTCTCTAATTATCCGCTTCTCATTCAAATTCACTGAATCTGAATATGAAATAGAACGTTAGAAAGTGGAAAATATATGCGCTCAGTTGGCCATCCACCAGAAGCTCAATGCTACTGCTACAAGTTTCAATATTATTTGGGGAGAAAAGGGGAAAAGTTCGTCTGAGAAAAAGGGTCCCCCCCGGACAGTGTTATTGCAAAATGGAAAAACGAAGCAATTCAGGAGGGGGGCGGGGCAGAAATGGCTATTTGTACTGCAGGCTACAGGTGATGGTCTTGGGCAGGTGGTTGTTAAAGCTGCTTTGACTAATTTTGATTTTAAATGCTTTTGAAAAGGCTAGGTTAGCATTTTGTCCCGACAGTTTTAAAATACTATTTGGGCCTACAACTATTAAATAATGGTTATATTTGCTGATAAAGAGGGTAACAATTACAATTGTAATCAATTGGCAAGTTTTTGATTCTTGTAATAAGTATTCAGTGAAACTGGCATAGGAATGAGCCTTTGAAAGAGACTTATATTAACGCTTTGCGGCCACTTGGTGCAGTAATGTGCCTGTGAAGATGATCTGTTCCGGTCACCTCACCAAACGCGAGATGTCCTTTGCAGTCACTCTCCTGTCTGGGTGACTGGATGGGGTATTTTGTACCGCTGGGTGTGTGACTGCAAAATGTTAACAAAAACACAATTTGATTTACTTTCAGGTCTTTACCTACCAAAGTATACTGAGTTCCCTGGGGTATTCTCTATCTCAAGAAGGTTTTCCTCATCTACACCTAACACAGACAGCATGTCGTCAGATAAGAAAAAGTTTGAGCGTCTGCCCACCGCAGTGGTGCCTGTCAACTACAAGATCAGACTACAACCTGATCTGGTGAAGCTGACTTTTGAAGGGTCAGAGGAGATCAAGCTTCAGGTGAGTTTAAATTAAGAGCAGACTAGACAGGTTGAGTTAAAAATTTATAAGGGTTTTCGTGTCCACTGTCAGTAAAAATGTGGATGGTTTTGACCTGGTCAATGAAAAAAAAGTATCATTTTGTCAGTTACATTCATATTGCAGTCAAGCCTGCCCTAACCTTTTGAACCCTGCACTCTTGAGCCTTAGATAAGCATTAATGATTACCCTGGGCTCCTGAGCAATTCCAGTGATTCTTTTTAAAGACCTATTGGCTGAAAATGTTTAATATGTCCCGCGTAATGACCTAATGAAGTTGTGAGGGCTGTAAAACACAAAACACTTAACTGTACCAAAACAACAATCAAACAAATAGACCTATTGGTTTGTTGTCAGCTTTGATGTGAGGAGGAACATTTCACAGACCTTGGTCATGGTCATGCTTTTCTTGTATTGGTCTATGGGTTGAATTCCGTCGTCACAGAGATTCTTGTTTTATATTCAGCAGACTAACTAACTTTTCTGGTTGTTTTGATATCCTGCCGGGACAGTCAGATGTGTCACTTTGTGGTGTCATGCTACTGTCACATCCACTGCCACTTACTCTGTCCTTTTCGCTTTGCTGCTACTGCTAAACATCCTCCACTCTCATCATTTTATTGTCATCGTACTCATCTTTTGCTTCGTTCAGTACTTCCCCTGAATCAGTATTAGACAGCTCTGGAGATCATTGTAGGTCTACACCTTGTTAGACAGCTGCTACAGTTGACTCCGCCAGCTGATTGTTTTGCATTTTTAAAACGCAACAAATAGTTCAGAAAAAGATTGTGCTGTCATCAAATGACCATGTATGGGGCCATTGATGCTGTTTTAAGTATAAAACAGAGTCAAAGCTATCTATTACTGTGTATCATATTTGTGTTCTATTTCCAGATTTAGGTGGGGGAGTCACCGATATTTGGATACCCCAGGGTATTTGGTGCTCTGTGATCGTACCGTTATTTTGGTACAAAGTGATCAAAGATCACCTCTCCACAGTGGTCACAGCTACTAATGGCTACCATTCTTTATTCCTCTGTGTTTCTATATTTTAACCTGCCCACAGAGGTCCCTGTCCAATACATTCACAGTTCGTTTTCTTTGCGACAAGTCAGCCTCAAAAGCTGCCCAGTTGCTGACTAGCTACAAAAGTTTTTCTCCTACACGTCCTCAGACTGCGCATGTTTGTTCAGTCAGTGCAAAGAAGCAGCTGATTTTCGCCTTGCTTGGCCCTACCTTTTAAACAAAAGGAGATAGGAAATAGTTCTGTGCTTACTCAATGATGTGTGAATGTGAGTGTCCAATGACCTGAGCACACGGCTCCTGACCATACTTTATAGGACTACCAGCACACTGCTGCTGACCTCTGTTAATTTCATGCAGTCATATGACATTCCGTGTGGCATACAATGGCCTTCAGATGCGCAGGTCAGTTTTAAAAAAAAATTCTTGGGTATCTTGTTTTGTTTCGTCTATGGTCGCTGTGTCAAAAGTGAGTCTGTAGGCAGCATTCTGTTTGAGTGCAGTAAGTGATAATAACTCAGTCCCTGTTCATAATGACCACCTGTTTATTAAACTGTAGTTTTTCTCTGTCATTGTGAGTGACTTATAGACTAAGACTGGGTTGACAGTATTTGATTCAAGATAGGACTTTAGAGCTGACTGTTGGCTTGCATATTTTGATGTTCTTTTGTTTAACTCTCTCCCATGTTTGACATTTTGTGCACATACTGGTAATAATGTACAAATATGTTTAGTTTACTCGTTTGCACTTTATATTGCAGATCAAAGAAGCTGTTTCTGAAATCAAAATGAATGCTAATGACATAGAAGTTCAAGATGCTATGTACAGATGTAAGTTCTGTTTATCATTACTGTGATTTTTAATTACATTATCACATCATGTAATGCAGTGATGCAGTACAAACAATATCATGACTATTTGCTTTTAAAATTTTGTATGATAATATTATATAAATATATGCCGTTGCAAGAGATGTATTGGTTTTGTTCAGAAGTTTGCTTTGTCTTTTGGATTTGGAGGTACTAGATAATTAAAGTGAATGTGTCTTCTACCATTTCAATGATTCTTAAGGTCTTTGGTTGTACCATCCAATCCCAGTACCAACGACTGATATAATTTCAAGGCCTTCTTCTGTGAGAGTTTATTCTGTAACTTACCTTCTTATAGGCCAACTGTGGTAGAGAAGGTGTGGTAGGGGTTACTACTTGAAATTAGATGGTCCGAAGCTTGTGTGTATTTCTCAAATTTCTGCAAGTCAGTGTGAATGGTTCTAAGAACTGCCTGTGCGACAGGAAGAAGTCCCCAGTGCCTAAAATTTGCTGATGTCTCTGGAGCTTAGTGAACTTTGATTTGGTCTCGACTTCTGTTTCAATCTGCTCTTGTCTTGTACTACAGATGACGGTATATTTTTCGTCTTTTTCTCTCTGTCAGGTGCAAGTGGAGAAGTGAAAGCAAAAGTGAAATACTACAAGGAAGAAGAAGAGGTTGGCTTTGAATTTCCGTCTGAACTCGCGGTAAGTATGTGGCTCCTGTCTGACATTTGCACTAATTGATGGTGGCCGTGAAGGAGCTGAGTGCTTTTGTGTGTGTGTGTGTGTGTGTGTGTGTGTGTGTGTGTGTGTGTGTGTGTGTGTGTGTGTGCACTTTTGAATCCTTCCAGTTTGCTGGTGTCCTTTTATGTGTTTCTGTGTAGCAGCAAGGGACGTTCATTTAGTGGTCATGATTACGAGATCTGAGATGTATTGATTGTTACATGTAAAGGCATGGAATTGATAATCTCTTGCATATAAGTCTTGGATGTTACTGTGTTTTATTGTTACACGTCTGGAAAAAAGAATTTACATGAAATGAAAAGGAAATATTGGGGTATTTACCTCAACTCAATGTCTGTACTCCTTTTCTTCTCTTCCTCAACAATTTCTTTCTGTCTGTACCAAATTCCTGCCACTTATGTAGCCCAGACGGGTGGGCTCTTCCTTAGAATTCGAAATCCAGTGAAAGCCACGTCTTTGTAGCATTTTAAATTCGGCACAGGCAATTCAAAATCACCAGCTCAGACCTCTTCGAAAAACTCTCTCTAGTAATTGTAATATTATTTTTACTCATGGCCCAGTCTTGTTTAAAAACAGGGTTCGTGGGTTGGTTTGTTGTTTTTGTGGATGTTTTCTTTTTATACCAAGGTGTTCAAAATTTACTGTCTGTAATGCATGTTTTCTGATTTTATTACTGTAATTTCCTGACTGTTTTGAGTCATGTGGGAAGGTTCAGATTAGTCTAAACTTTTTAGAATTTGTTGTTAGATGTGTATATAACTTATATTTCCCCTTTTGCCATCTACTTTCTTTAGCCAGGCGAAGGTTTTTTGTCCATGAAGTTCACGGGCGAACTGAATGACAAAATGCGGGGATTTTATCGCAGCGAGTACAAAGTAGGGGAGGAGAAAAGATATGCTGCAGTTACACAATTTGAGGTAAGTTTTCATCAATACATCCCTGGTTAATGTTTCTTCTGCACTTATTTATTTTAATCTCGATTCCTTTTACCGTTTTATAAAATTTCTTTTTCCGGTACTGCTCACTGAAAGGGTGTTCCTGATAACAGCTTAAAAGCAGAATTTTGATGCCTTTACACAGATCACTGTTAGTTTAAAAAGGCCCTGTTTTACCTGGTTTTAATGCATACGCAAAGAATCTGACCTCTGATAAAGTAACCATTGTTCAGGGCATAAAGTACATATGCTTACAGATTTTTACTGTTTTTATGGTACAATGTTTAATGCCTTCATCTATTGAGCTTAAGGGATGGGTTTCATGGTGGACTGCTTTGATTTTTTCTTTGTTATGAAAATGGCAAGTGAGTTAAAAAGACTGGACATTTGTCCAGCAGAACAATTTGTTGGAATTGACTTCTGTTGTAAATCAAATAAGAGTCATAAAATGGCTATTTAAATTACCTAGGTCCCTATCTGTGGGCATTTTGGTTAGTGATGAGTCATTTCTGTCAGATATGGCTCTGGGTTGTGTGCCTTTTTTACCGTCAGCTATTTCATTCCCTCCCATGAGCTGTTTCCATCCCTCCCATCCGCTGTTTCCCTCCCTCCCATCAGCTGTTTCCCTCCCTCCCTTTAATCAGCTGTTTCCCTCCCTCCCATCAGCTGTTCCCCTCCATCCCATCAGCTATTTCCCTCCCTCCCTTTTATCAGCTGTTCCTCTCCCTCCCTCCCTCTTATAATATCAGCCTTACCGTCCTCCCCTCCCATCAGCTGTTCCTCGCCCTCCTTCCCTCCCATCAATTGTTCCCGTCCCTCCCTCCCTCCCATCAGCTGTTTCCCTCACTTTCTCCCTCTTATCAGCTGTTCCCCTCCCTCCCTAACCCTCAATGGCTGTCCCCCCCCCTCCCTACCTCCCACCAGCTGTACCCCTCCCTCCCTCCCTCCCATCAGCTGTTCCTTTCCCTCCATTTAGCTGTTCCCCTTACCATGAGCTGTTTCCTTCTCTCCAACCCTCCCATCAGCTGTTCCTCCTTCCTTTTCAGCTCCCTTCAATATCTCCCCTCCAGCTCATCGTAGGAAATTCTGTTCTCCTTTCCTTATTGGGTTCCTTGTTAGGATCAAAGAATTGCAGACTATTCTCAGATTATGTCTCAATGTCCTTTCATCAACATGCAGTGCCAGATCTGCGACAAACATCGGCGATCATGGTTCTCCATTCATTCCTTTTCTCGGATGCTCTCAAAAAAGCTACGTTTCCATGATCTTTCCCTGTTACCCATTTGTTTAGGTTCCCGTAGTAGATTGTTCTTGGCTTACCCCTGCCTCGTTTGCCTTCAATTTTGCCAGTGAGAGCTAGATGTTAAGACCCTTGTCTATTCAGGTTTCTCAAAAACTGCATTTGTCGTTTCCTGATTGTTTTTAACATTGAGCATCCCACGTGGGCCTCATCCAGCACTACCTCATTTGAATTCTTTTCCTTCCACCATACTCTTAGCAGTCTTAGCACATTTCTATTGCTTCTATTTTATTTTCTCTGTCTTTAATTAGTGATTGTCCAGCATTCTCAGCCATATAGAAGGGTGGACCATACATAGCATTTCAGAACTTTCATGTTGGTGGTCATTGAGATGTTTCTATTTTTCAGGGTTGGGCTCATTTTATAGAAACTAGTCTCAGCCATTGTAATTCTTCGTTTTACTTGTGTGGAACATTTGGCATCAGATGTTATCATATATCCTAGATATTTAAACTGTTGGACTTGTTTGATCTTTTCACCTTTGCTTATGAGATTACAACTAGGATTTGCTGCTTTTTTTTATATTACCATGCATTCTGTTTTCTTTACATTCAACACTAATCCTTTACGTTCAATGTCCTTTAAAGCTATGATAATGCCAGACTCTGTTATGGTTTCTGTGTGACGTGTCATCAGGCAACAGATGCCCGGCGTGCTTTCCCATGCTGGGACGAGCCAGCGATCAAGGCTACATTTGATGTCACTTTGGTTGTGCCGAAGGACAGAGTAGCACTGTCCAACATGGTAAGTGGAATTCCTGAAGTCTTTGAAGTCTTGAAATGAATTGTAATGAAACTGAGGGCATAAAAAGGGGGTTGGTGTGGTCGGGGGGGGGGGGGGGGATTGGTGCTTGTAGAAAGTAGTATTTCCTTTTAGGTAACACTTTAAAGATGCAGACAGTTTTGTTTTGGTATGAATATGGCATGGCCCCTTACTCAGTCTCAAGTGTGAGTCATTTTGAAAGCACAGAGTTAATCTGGGGGCTTGAATGAAGGAGACAAAGAGGAGTTTCATGAAAGTATCACATGCAATAATTATGAGCAAAGAATATATAGGTGCACATGGGTTAATCTGTCATGAGAAGGACATGGTTCTCCCTTTGCAAGTGTTTTTTTCTGTTTGTTAAGACGCCCACCCCGTCACCCCCAGTACCGTATACACACAATGCACACATGAGCCTGAATATATTTTGTTAACTCCGCTGAAAGTAATCAGGTAGAATCTTTTTGTCTTTTTGTCTTCTTACATTACTCAACTGCTATTGTTTGTTCACTCAAAAGACCTGACTGCTGTATATAGCAATGCCAATCAAGCTTGTGTATGCGGTAAAAATTTTGTTCCCGTTTGGGGGTGTATTTTTGGACCGGATTGGACCATAGATGACTAACTTTCTCCAAAAAAAAGAAAACCTCAGTCGGCTACATTTCTAGACCAATCACGGCGTCACTTTTCGCCTGATTCTTTTACTTTTAGTTAGTGTGACTCAGCAGCCGCCGGAGCTCCCCTGCTCGGGGTCCCGGGGTTAATGAGCCCTGAAGCGACTTTGCTGGTATTGGTTAAGAAGTTTGCATTTTTGTCTACGTTTGAAACGATATAACTTCTTCCTGATCCCACACAGCAAACCATTACACTGATGTTCTAAAAGCTCAATGTCTTGAGATTAATTTTGCGTTGGAATGGTTAATTTCTGTGCCTTAGTTTTTGTTCTAGACAAGTGTTTATAGAGTACCCAATTTGTCCTTTTTTTTGTTACATACATATGAATAAATGATTGTTTATTTAAAAACGGCTCGATAGATCTCTCATAAATCTGTGTTTAAACTGACTACCAATATCATGTCTTTTACCGTGAGAAATCTTTAAATCTGCGCAAGTAGTAATAGTCAAGTTATAAGAGAAGAAAGATGCACATCTGCATTTTTTAACTAAAGACACTGAGCGTTAGCTCTTGTTTACCATTGAACAAGAGAAAGTTACTCTGCATTTGTTCATGAATCATGCTGTGTCTGTGGCAGCCTGCATACAACTAAGAAAGATATAATATGCGATATGTTAAAAACACTAAACTGTGTAAATACATGGGTAGAGATAACTTCTTGTATGGAATCAAAATAACAACAGCTGACACTTTCATTCTTAGTCGTTGTGTTGGAAATATGCGCTGGCATTTATTAATGTGAAGAAATCAGAACATTGTCAGTTATTGTAAACAGTCATAGAAACGAAAATAATCTGGACAAGTCTGGTTCTGATTCAGTGTCACTGGAAAGCTAGAAACTATTCTTATAACCCAATTATGAGAAGTCATCCCTGTTATCCAGTCAACTTACAAAACCTAGACTTACTGTTTTAAAAAAAGTAAGGAATTTCTGGAGTGTTACCGTTACTGTTTGTATATTACATTGTAGATATATTCTGGCACTAAAATCAATTCGTACTTCTTCTTTGAAATACTACAGGGTAATTTTTATACACTTTCGAGAAAATATACGAATATTCCCGATCATATTAGACACATAAAGTTGTATTTGGAGGAATTACTTCATAGCGAATTGTGTTCCAGATGGATAAAGGTGCAAAATTACAGCTTTCTATTATATGCGCAGATACCATCTTTTCTGAGTGTCTGCACCAATGTTATGTCGTTCATGTTCCAAAAGTTTGACAATTTTTGTCGTTTTTTTTACATTGATTTTTTTTTCATTCACACTTGTCCAAACTTTTTTACAATTTAGCATTGCCGACTTCAGCGTGTCTTACGAAATGACCAGACATGTTACAATGTTCGTTCTTTTTTGAGTCTCAAAAGCAGAAATGCGTGCTTTGGTTACATTAAATGATAATTACCATAAATACATGGATACACTTAAGACTGTAGGTTGAAAAGTACCAAAAATTAAGTCAGCCCAGACAGCGGCGATAGGGAGCTGACCCCCGTGACCCCGACGTGGTAAGGCTCTCGGCGGAGAACCCCCCTCCTGCAACTAAAATTCCACTGCCGGTGCGCCATGCAATATGAATGATACTTGAACTTGTGAACCAATCAGAAAATAGGGCAAAATAATGGTAGGTGGACGTTGAAGTTTGTACACATAAATTGACCTACGTTTTTGGTGTCAGAAACCATTTCGTATCGGTTTTTCCATAAACTAAAAAGAGCTTGATTTTCAACTTTGAGAAAGTAAAATGTCTATCTTTCCTCTATAGTGTCCTCAAATTTGAAAGTTCTGTGTCAAGTAGTTGTTTAGAATTTATTATATATATGTACCACTACTCCCTGTCCAAACTGCTTGGCACAGAGACTAGCCATTTTCCCCGTTCTCCCTCGGCAAATGTATGTGACCTACAAATCCGTGCTTGATTATTCTGAGCCCGTTCCTTGGTCTCTTGAAATATGGCAATGGCGGGCATGTGCATCTGGTTGTTTTTCTCTCTGTTCCCCTGTAACATCGTAATGCTGGTGTTCGCGTCTCAATAGAAAAAAAGAAAGCTTTTTAATTTTACGGCATGTTAAATTGAATTGAATTGTATTTTTGGGTTGGCTTGGTCTAAAGTTATCAAAGAAAGTTTTGTCATTATTTAGTCATACTGCCAATATATTCTTAAAGATCCCATGTTGTGATATGACGCTATAAATGAAAGGTCCTCCCAACACACCTCTTTCTCAAAATCGTAATATGTTCTGGAAAATTCTAATTTTAACAAAATAACCACTTAATGGTAAGTAAATCTGACTGTAGAAATGATTTGTCCACCCAAAAACATGTTGAGTAGCCAAGTTTCTTTCACAAACGCTTCAGTCAATAACTGAGATGTCGTTGGTTTTCTTACGTATTCTATTGTGAAGTGTTTCACTTTTTGACAATATTTTCATATGATTGAGTCGTCTTTTTTTTGCTGCACTTTACAACCCCATAACTTGTTAAATTTATGAACTGATTCTTTAAATAAAAAAAGCCTAATGTTTGGAATAAAAGTACCTCTCTTAGGTACCAAATGAAAAAGGGCTAAAGCCAAAATTCCATTTTTCATTGGCATTGCTACTCTACACTTCAGTTTTTGTTGCAGTAGCTACAGTCTCAACCGCTGTAATTTTTTTTCTCATTACTTTTCAGCCAGTTGTGTCTGAGAAAGATGCGAGTTCGACTCTCAAGGAGCTGACATATGACACCACCCCAATCATGTCCACATATCTGTTGGCATTTGTTGTTGGAGAATATGACTATGTGGAGGCAACAGATGAAGATGGTGTTTTGGTGAGAGTGTACACCCCAACTGGGAAAAAGGAGCAGGGTCGCTTTGCTCTCGACGTAAGTTTTTGAGTACATGCGCTACTTGTGAATATTTATGAAGTGAAGCATTTTTAAAATTTAACAGGAAAACCACATTATTTTTTTCTTTCTAGAAATTTTTCCAGCCCTTGTGCATATATGAAAGCTTGTACGTAATACTGCGACCACTTTCTTCATGCTCTGAGAAAGACAAAGTGAGTAGTTTTTAGACCTAAGACACCATTGGTGGTCTCGCTGTTATGCTATGCCCAGATTTCTGGTCAGGGTTGATATGTCTTTATTAAGGAATACACCATTGTAACTACCCTAGTCTTTTTACGAATGATTTCATTACCTTTTTCATTTTTGGCACCCTTGACTCATTTACTGAAGAACTGACATAAAATAGTTTTGACAGGAAAGATTCCTGGAAGGTGAGACAAGTTGGGATAGGGCTCAAATCAACTTTGTCATTACTTTTTAGCAGATGGATATTTAAAAATTAATTTTGTAACTTACTTTATGATCTGCTAAGGACATACTTAGGGCTTTGACCAAAGGTTTGTGGAAGACAATGATGGAAATTATAACGATTTGAGTCTTCAAATAGCTTTCACTATATGCTGCCTATTTATAGATGCAGCAGATGCTACCAACAGACTGTCTATTCCACTTTCATGAAGGTGGTTAATAAAGAATTTATATCTATAAAGAATTCCCCATCATTTGAAAGACACTCATAGAGAGATGAGAGCTCCTACAGTTCTGAAGAACATAGATTTTAGTTTTAGTTTTCTATTTAAACTTAATTCTTTTTATATAATCTAGATGGAAAAGTGTTTTCAAAAGTGTGTAACAAGTTCTTGAAACAAGGTTCTTGATAAAAGTTTGCTTTCTGGAATATTTGTGAAATAAATCACAATGTTTTCTTGGAAAATAATAATTGCACTTTTTCTCAATTTACCATAGGTTGCTGTGAAAACTCTGCCATTCTACAACAAGTACTTTGGAATTGCCTACCCTCTGCCCAAGTGTGACCTCATTGCTATTGCTGACTTCTCAGCAGGTGAATGTTGGATGATGACATTTCTGCTTTTGGAAGTTTTTTTGGGTTTTGTTTTTGTAAATTTAAATTCTTTAAAACATTTTTGATTCCTTTAAGTTTCTTTCTAAAATGTTTTCTTTGCTTTTGTATGATCTTGTCAGTGTAGGATTAATTATTTTATCTTTTTTTCTAGTTTATAAACCCAAGACTCCTTTGTGTTTTTAAAAAACTTTGCGTACTTTTTTCTCAGCCCTCTCTAATGTGCGTGTTGTTTTCAGGAATTTTTCGGTTGTTTTCTGTCGCTACTGTTTTTTTTTTTACCTGTATTGCTACTGCCTTTGTTTACTTTTGTACTCTTGCTCCACATTTCCCTATGATTTTGATGAAAAAGAGGAAAAAAGTTTGCATTAATCTTGCTGGCCATTTTGGCAGAGAGGAGAAATGTAGAAGCCCACTGCTGCTGCGTAGCTCAATTATTGTCAATTAATAAGAGATGTTTTTTTTTTCCCTGTCAGCCTGCTGTCCTGATAGATGAATAAGTATTCTGCCTTTGAAGTGACAAATACTTTGTATAGCGGACGGCTGGATTTCCAGGAAAGACAACTAGTGTTACATTCAAAACTTTCGGTGTTGTTACGTCCGTTCTCAGGTGCCATGGAGAACTGGGGTCTGATCACATACAGGGAGACGGCCCTGCTGGTTGACCCGGAGCAGACTTCGGCCCGCATCAAGCAGTGGGTGGCTCTGGTCGTGGGCCATGAGCTGGCTCATCAGTGGTTTGGAAACCTCGTTACCATGGTGAGGAGGAGGGATGGGTGGCTCTTAGCCAGAAGTGTGTATTTTTCTGTTTTGTTCTTTTTTTGTTGTTGTTTTGTTTGCGAGTGTGAAGAAAGTGAGTGGGTGATTATTTTTGTATTGATGGCGATAATGTGAAGATTATTTTATTTTTAATCAGCATTAGATTTAGACGAAATCATATTTCTATTGATCATAAGCTCTAGTCTTGTGGATGATATGTGGTTGCTCTCGTGTGGTTTCCTCTTTCTTTCTTACCAGACATTTGTAGTCCTTATCTCTCCTTCTTTTGTTTGTATGTTACACTCTAGCAACACCTTTAGTCTTTGGCACCTGATTGTGTTGCAAGTGCCGTAAAACTCTTCATCATCATCATCCAGTGCCAGATCTGTGACAGATATCGGCGATCATGGTTTTCCATTCATTCCCTTGCTCGGATGCTCTAAAAAAAGAAAAAAAAGCTACGTTTCCCTGTCTTACTAAAACTAAATCACCAGTCTAAACACATTTCATGCCACACACAGGGATTCTGCATGCTCACACTTCATCTCTGACTGCCCACATGGGGATTTCATGTTTGAAATTAAGCCTCTAAAAATCAAGTGTTTATTTCATAAAAGTGGCTCCCTTGTTAATGTGAAAGGTGGGTGGGGGAACTGTCATTTAACACTTTATTCAAACTAATGTCAGCGATAATTTGAAAGTAGGTCAGTTGGTTTGAATAGTATGAATGATGGCAAAGTGTTCATACACAGCTGAAAGGTGTTAAATAAGCCTATTATAGAGATAAATATAGTGGAGTAGAAGCTATTGAAAAAAACTGCTGTTTCTAATGACATTTATATAACTGACTTCGAGGGAGATTCTCATTGAGAAATTTTTTCCACAGCTTAATACCTCTACAAAGACATCCTACTGTACAAGAGTACGAGAGATAGATCGTGACCCTTGAGAGAGCTGGTGGTGGTAAAGAGAACGTGGTGGTGCATGTGACTGGTGTAGACAAACAATGGAAAGAATTCAGAGAGAAGAAACTGATAAACTGTGTACTGAGACTGAGTGGAATTTCACAGATGGTACTCAAGTGCTACTTTTCAGCGTTTGTTAATTTTTTAATTTTAGCTTGAAATAACCAGAGTTTACTGGGGTAGGGGAAACCACTTCTGGCGAATCTAGTTTTTAGAAAAAAAGTTTTAAAAATATCAAATTTCAGAGTTACATATCTTTGTGATTTAAAAAAAAAAACCCAACTTTTTGTAGGCTTACTGCAAACATTTTGGCATCTCTTGGAAGCTGGCAGGTCTTAAACAGGGTACAAATGTTGGGACGGTAACACTTTAGAGGTTCACCCCCCTTGTGGTGTGCTTTCCTGTTTCAGGAGTGGTGGACACATCTGTGGCTGAATGAAGGTTTTGCTTCCTGGATTGAGTACCTGTGTGTTGACTACTGCTTCCCTGAGTACGACGTCTGGACTCAGTTTGTCAACAATGACCTGGGACGGGCACTCGAGATGGATGCTTTGGACAACAGCCACCCCATTGAGGTTTGGGAAAATTGTGGAGATTCTGTTTATGTTTTGGATAGTTTTTGTTTTGTTTCTTTTTGTGATACAGTGAAGAATATCCCTCTCCCTCCCTTCAAACAACTAAACCCTATACACAGTATACAGGGTCACTGTGGGGGATGACAGTTGCGTGCTGCAAGAAGAGGAAAAAATGGGGTGTGATCTACATGGTGTACATAGACAGTGTTTTTTTCTGTATTTTCATTTCTTTTTTTTTAGGTTTATTATTAATTTATTTTCTTCACAATGACTCAAGTCTAATGACTTTCCTAAATTTGAATATTACTTCATTTTCAAATTGTATTGATGCCACCCATTGTTACTTCTTCAATTTCGCTATTACAAGCAAAACTCAGGAAAGTGTGCCTCAAAATAGATCCATTTTATTATGTGATAAGTGACTGAGAGAAAAAGTGTTTTTGGAGTTTGTGTTTTCAATAACTGTTACTGCATTTATATCTTTCATCTATAGTTCTGTAAATTTTGCCACTAACTGTACATATCTCAAATTATGTTACACTTTTTCTTCTAAAAGAGAAAGAAAAGGTGTATGACATATCTTTTTCTCAGCACTTTCCTCTCAATGATAAATAGCTGACATTTTTAGCTTCCTGTAACTGTCAGGTGAATGAAGACATGGCAGTACTTACACTACTAACAGTACTATGATAAAAAATGGAGCCCCCTGGAAGGGTTTCTTAAGGCCTATGGAAGAAACCAGATTGCATTTGCACACAATCCTTTATTTTTCTTGAATCTTGTTTCCATCATTTGGACATAAGTTATTGAAAAAATGGGATGAGAATACATAGGTTTATTTGTGTTTATTTGTGATATTTGCACAACTTATCGTAAATGACATGAAAATACACATTTTTATTTGCATTTTTTTCATGTTTTTGCAATACAGAATCATTTGCCACTGTTGGTTCGTACTGTAATCTGAATCTACTGGGGTTCTGGAGACTCCAGTTTTTTCCCTCAAACTTCAGTTTTTTTCTCTAGACTGGAAAACAATTTGGGTCATGTGGGGGTTGGCAGGTCTGTTTATGTGAATGTAGGTGAAACACACTTTTTTATACCTTAAATTACTTAAAGATGTAAAGATGTCATCCTCATCTTTCTGTATTTGTTGACATCAGTATCTCTATATTCAAAAATATATACAAACATTTTAAAGATTGGGTGAACTGAATTGCCGTCATTGATTTTTTTTGGTTCTAATTTACAAAACAACATCACCTTATTGGATAAAGGTTTTGAACTCAAATGCTAGCATTGTTTCAAGTGCTAAAGAGACATATAATTACCCTTGTTGAACTTTTTTCTCCCTTCATATGAATATGAGACTGAAAACTTGCATCTTCTTTTGTTTCAGGTTGAGGTGGGACACCCTTCAGAGATTGATGAGATCTTTGATGCCATCTCATACAGCAAAGGTTCTTCAGTGATTCGTATGCTGCATGACTTCCTTGGAGATGAGGTAAGTCAGCCCTCTCTCTAAAATTGGGAGTTCCTTACATCTATTTTCTCTGGTGGAAACACCAAACTGCTGTTTTGGTGACCTAAATTTGAATTCCAGTGGAAGGTTTTACGAAGTTTTGTTACTACGAGAAATTTTTGTGTCTCATAGCTGTCATATCACTTCTTAGTTATGGTATTTCACTTAATGGTTAAAAGGTTGCATTTCTATTGTCGTCTTGACACTGAGTGGTAGACATGTACATGAAGGGTACTGAACTTCGTTAAACCGAAATTTTTGTTTGGTCAAGGTATGTCAGATAACTGTTTAAAAATAAAAGAAGCCAACCATATATTCCTATATCACCAAGCTTCTCCCACATGAAGCAAAGTTTTTAGAAAGACCATATCTTAAACTCTGTAAAAGTCTTGGGTTTATTTCTGAAAAGAAAGTACCCCACCCCAAATTTAAAAAAAATATTTAGAAGAGACCAACAAAAAAACTTAGAAAGTTTGAACCCTTATAGCAGCAGATAGGCTTGACCCATGTTAATTGCTTTTTTTTATTGTGTGCACAGGACTTTAAGAAGGGCATGCACTTGTATCTGACACGGCATCAGTACAAGAATACGTTCACAGAGGACCTGTGGGCTGCCCTGGAAGAGGCCAGTGGGAAGCCAGTTGGCAAGATGATGAAGACGTGGACTCTGCAGATGGGCTTCCCGGTGCTCAAGGTAAGTGCTGGCCTCTCTAGGGAATATCATCATCGGCAATTGTGAGAAGGCCTGACAGAATGAGTCACTTCTCAAAATCTGCGACAGGTGAATTCAGTTAAAAAATTGACACTGAGTTAGATTTTTCAGTTGACACCCTTTTCTTCAAGTGTAACCTGATTTTTATTAATTTACACTTTTAAATTGTAGAAACTCCACCTGTATGAGTGACATAATAATTTCCATAGAACTGACATACAAAAAATAACTTATTTTGTTATGAGTAAGGCAAACATTAGATTGACAAGATGTTAGAAAATAAAATTCCTGCCCTTTTGTATCATCATGCCTTTGTTTTCATTACATTTTTACTATACTGGACTACAACCCCTGTCCTTGATACCCCTTCGAAGATTTTCTATGGCCATATTACGAATTTTTAAGTCAGTTTACTCATTTTCTATCTGTTGATCACTGTAACATATGCTGGTTGGTGGTCAGCCCTGAATCAAAGCGACTAGGCATCGCTGATGTACAGATGGTTGAAGTGTAAGAGTGTCACTAGGAGGTCTTGTTTTCTTTCCATCTGTTGTTCTTGTCTGTGTGCCTTTTACTTTCCCTCCACTAAATGACTATTTTGTTTTGTCAATGTGCTTCTATTTCAAAAATTGGGATATCATCGTGTCTCCAGGTCAGCCAGGAACAAAATGGAGATTCGCGACAACTGAAAGTCTCTCAGACCAAGTTCACGGCCGATGGCTCAACTCCCACCAAAGAGTTCTGCTGGATGGTCCCCATTTCAGTCTGTTCCAAGGCCACTCCCACCACAGCCACAAACCTGGGCCTTCTGGAGGATGCCTCAGCTACGTTCAACGTTCCGTCTGCACCAGAAGACAGCTGGGTGAAGGTCTGTTGTTAGGTTTGAAACTGAAACAGAACTTTCTTTTTAAGTACTGGTTCTTGTCCCCTTTTCGTTTGTTTGATGAGCAGTTGTTGGCCTCAAATTTGCCAAAGAAATATTCTTGTCTAAAAAATTTTACTCGGAATTTTTAAATTGTTTTCTTGCAGCTTAGTTTTAGACTTGCAATCTTTAGGGATGACTTCCATTTCTGGCTGTGTGTGGCAGGAGAAACTGCCCTACCTTTTTTTTCTCAAATTCGCCCGCATTGATTGAGTATTTAGCTGTACACTGATGTAAAAATACATGACAAAATGGAAGGTCCCTCTGCGGAACTGAGATGGGGTAATGGAATGGACAGGCCAGTCCAAGGAAGTTTCTGTTATAAAAGCCTTTTGTCAGAAACTAATATTAATGACAGAAGTAGTTTTCGTTTATGTTAAGCAGATCTGTACTTGAAAAAAGGTTCTATATACTTTACGATAATTTTTATTTAGAAAGAGAAGCTTGAGCATGGAGAGAGCTTTTTTTTACTATTTGACGAGGATCAAACATCTTAAAGCCTGTGTTCCCTCAGATAATGGTGACAGTGCAATTCTAAGTCCAGACTAAAAAATTATTTCGAAGAGAGAAAATAACATTTCTTTTTTTTTATCAACAAAAATGAACACTGAGTGTTTGTGTGTTGCAGTGATTAGAATTAAATTTTACTGTAAGTATTAATCAGTGTTTTGGGATGTATGTTGATGGGTAAAGTTGATATTTTTAGTAGACTGACCAGCTAATTGGTGATTATGATGTAGGCACTTCACCGTTATATGCACGAGAATCAAGTTTGTCTTTTGAGCGGAGAGAGTTTTTGTTTAGTGTATTGGTCTTTCTGCTGGGATGTTGTGTCCCCCTCAGCCCAGGTTGGCCCTGACAATTAGGGTTTAAGTTCGCTTCCTGAATTATCAAAATCATGTTAAGGGAGGTGTAAAAAAACACCTGCATTTTTTTTTTTCCAGGTAAATGCTGGCTCAGTGGGAGTGTATCGGGTCATGTACCCGTCTGAGATGTTGGATGCCCTGGTTCCTGCTGTCAAAGATCTCTCTCTGCCTCCCAAAGACAGATTAGGACTTCAGTCAGATCTCTTTGCCCTGGTGAGTGCTTCTCAGGATATACGACTGGGTAGACTTGCATTTACAATTTACAAAGTTGTGAGTTTGATTCCTACCTTCTAAGGCTAAGACATAGTCTCTTTTCGAAAAGTTTTGCCGACCTTATTTATTCTCCGATCACCCAGCTGCTGATGGGCATTTGCAACTGGTGTAGATGGAATATGTGAATGATAGTGATGTGTTTGTGTAATAGACTGCAATGCTGTATGCATGTCTTCTTGGAGGCTTGAATGAAAATGTGGGTTGCTTTGAGAACCTTCTGTTGGAAGTGATGATACGCGTTAAAAAACGAGCAAGTTTCTTTTCTTAGTCTCGGTTATAATGTGAGGTGGTTAGATATAACTTTTTTTGCTTTAGCTTGTCTGGCACAACTTGTGTGCTCGCATCTTCTGAAAAGCATGTGATTCAAAACGCTAAAGTCACATTGGACCGGACTTTCAGTTGAAAGTTATATTGAAACTGGGAGGAAAGGTTTCGATGCTTCATTGTATTGTTCTATGATTGTTTGCTGTTATATAACCCTTATATGTTTTCTAACTGGTTTCTAATAACTTTAGTCTCGATGGATTACTTTTTGTTGTTGTAATGGAATGCTACTGGCATATGTCTACAACTCCTTGAAAAATTCCTAAAAATTCATTTACCTGACTCCAAAAGAAATGAACTACTTTGGGAGCAAACAAATCAAAAGAAATTAGATATAGAAATCATAAACAAAAAAAGTGGAAGTAGATTGGTCATGCCTTGAATAAAGCAAACAAACCGAACATTACCCCCAAGCCTTAACTCTTTTTATCCGGGCTACGAGTATACTCGTAACGAGGACCAGTCCGGGCTACGAGTATTCTCGGAACAGCGATACAGTCACGTCAAAGAAGCAAGTTCTATTTGTAATTACCAAAATACGCAAATACGGCGATGCTAGCTCTGTCTGAATATTTTAATTTTCCAATGAACAGTAGTTTCTTTGTTTTTGATGGGTGTAGAAGCTTGAAAGATGTCTCGAAAACGCACATACACGACCGACAAAGTTCTTTTTGAAGTGGCGCTGGGTTGTGAGGGGGAATGATACTAATTTGATGAAAGTGACTCTGAAATAAGAGCCGTAAATTCCGTTGTGGATAATAAGAAACAGGACTTAGACTCATCTAATAGCGATTCAGATCATGGTGAAGGGGTCAGCTGGAATTCGCGTGCCTATAGTGTACATCTATGGTAGGGCTATATCTAGATCTATAAAATCCAATGGGACGTCGTGGGCGCGGCAATCAGGGTCAAGTTCGAAGGTGGAATACACCTCAAAATCTACATTGTGCTATTGGTGTATTTCTTAACCACATACATTTACAAAAACTACATTCAATTTCTAACTTAACTTCCAAATTTCCTTAAAAACTTAGAGTAAATGTAAGAAATATGGCACTTTGAACTGTACGCACTAACTTCCGACTCATGCGGCGCGGCGGCCCCAGGACTGGTACTGAGTCCGTGGCGGTACGGCTAGGATAAAAAGAGTTAAGATGAAATCCCAAAGGAGAGAGAAAGTACTTAAAAGAGGGACATAGGTTTCAATCTAGAGGAGATGGGATACAGTGGGGCAGAGGTTGGGACAATAGCCCAGGAAAGAAGTACATGAGAGGGTCTTGGGGATGGCCTATACTCAGGCACAGGGTGAGAAAGGCTGAAGATGATGATGTAATCATGTTGAAGAGAATGCTAAATTGGAACATGTTTTGTCAAGACACTACTTTTGAAAATGACATTGTTGTTGATGGACCGTGTTTGTGTAGTGATGATCATACTGATATTTGGATGACTGCTTAGAACCGGAACTGATGATGACATTGGGTTAAGTCTTTCCCCATTGCTTTTTTCTTTGCAATTACTGCAGATAAAGGGGTTTTTCATCTGGAAAGAATCAATATTTTTTAAAATGTATTATTACAGTCACAGCTTTTATTACAAGCCAATAGGAAAAATTCTAGTTTCATGTCTAATTTTAAGAAGTTTTGATCTGAACTGTATGTCCATTCAATTTGCTTTCTTACCTGTGACAACTTCAACTCCCTTGTATGGATTAATGCCTCCCAACATTTTTCTCTGAGCATTGCCAGTGATGATACATGTTTCGATTGCCATCAGCTTCTCTCCTAGTGGCAAGAAAGATGAGTTTTATTTCGCTTTACTTTTTAAGGTTCATTACAAAACACTGGGGTTTGATCATCTTTCTTGCAGCATCGATTGTATTCATATTGTGCATCAAGTGTAAGCGAATGTTAAAGAAAATTACCTTGAGGAGAGCTGTGTTTGACCTGTTTTCCAAATTAGACTATTTTTGGACGGAGACCTCTGTAATGACCCACACCCCCTGACAAATATTTGTACTACACATGCTAATCTGTAAAAAATTTTAAAAGAAAAAATGGGTTGTCGTGGCGGGTCCGCTGATGTGGTCCTTTTTTCCTATCAAACATCTATCATCCATATCTTTCCCTTTTTAAATATGTTTTTTACCCTCTTGTAACACCTCAAGTCTTCAACACTGATATGACTCAATCTTGTTGGAAGTGCTGTAAAACTCTTACGAAAACCACCCCAATTTATTATTTTTTTCAGTCCCGAGCTGGCCTCACGTCTGCCGTGGATGTCCTGAAGGTGGCGCTAGCCTTTGAGAATGAGCAAGATTACACTGTCTGGTCAAACCTGGCCTCCAACATGGCCACCATCAGACACATTTTGCAGGTCAGTTTGTCCTTTGTTTCCTGCTCTCCGATACTGCTTGGGTCACTGGGGTTCTTTACTTTTCTTCCCAGGAAGTTGAAATTGTTTCAGAATGTTATCAGGTCTGCGAGGGTACCAATAATATTATAGATTTTAAAGGGCACAGAATTTGTTGTTGAGGGGAACTTTTTCCTCCATAGTTATTCTTCTTCTTGTTATTATTTTTATTGTTATAATAATTATTATCGTTTTTATTATTATTATGATCCTGACAATATGGTTCTGTGTGTTGGACATTCCTGTCTGCCCCGCTCAATATCAGTCGTAAGACGCACTGTACTATTATCCGCTACGAGGCTCGAAAGGCAAAAAAGTAACTTTCCGTGAAATTTTTGTTTTTTGAACATATTGAAAGTTTGATATCTTCTGCTTCATTTACGATAAAAATAAACAACTTTAATCAACTATAAATATTTTATTTGATTTATTTTGGAGGCATGTGTGGCTTGTTGCGAGCTTTGGTGACGAGATAAAGGAATTTGGACCTTTCTAGTGTGTAGCTGTAAGATTGTTTTTAGAACCATTACCTCATGGCCACCTTTGCTTCAACCAAAGATTCTCCACTAGTGGAAAATCTTTGCTCCAACGTTCTTCATTCCCAACTATTTTTAGATTTTGACCCCTTTTCGAGCATGAAAGGTCTGAAATATAAACAACTCTGATTGGTAAAACGGAGTAAAAACGGGAACTTCTAGCTCACTTCAAGCTTGTTTACGTAAACAGCTGACTGTGTGGGTGTGCCCTGCTAGCTGCTATTGTCTGTTGATTTTTAAGTTTTACACTTGGATTGACTTTAAAAATTCGTTTTTTATTGTGTTTTAGAGCCTTTAAAAGATGAATTAACCTTCCTCTAGATCTCTCAGAGTGGACTCCTTACCAAGAGGTCACTGAGGCTGTCTATGTGCATGTGTGTATATGTGTGTTGGTGTGTTTGTATGTGTGTATGTGTGTGTGTGTGTGCTCTCTCGTGCGTTTATGGTGCTATTTCAAATGTACTATTCGGCAACGTTAACACGGCACGTAAGCCGTTTCGCGGCCTTCCGAGCGCGTGGTTTCGGTGAAATGGGGATAATTCAGATCTCTGTTTCCTTGCTCTTTTGCTATAAAAAGACAGTACATGTTTAAAACCTCTACAACTACCATAAACCTTAGTTTATTCCCTATAAACAAAACACTTTGAAAAAGTTCAGATTTAATTCGTTATAATACTGTAAGTTGTTTGTATATCCGGGTATTTGGAGCTGGAGAATTGACACCCATGCATTTGAATGCTTTGCAGAAAGATTGATGATTAATGATTATATACCGTCTTTTCATTGGCGTAGAGCTATACAGCTTTGCGTGTGGTTTCCCGTGGTTATCATTTTTGGCCTTTGGAGTTTAGAAAGAACACCTTGAAAAAAAAGGATCTAAGTTTTCAAAGATCATTTTTAACATGAAATGTGTAAAATACCGGCTAAAAAGGTACCAATAAAAAAAACAGTTTTTTTTCTATTAGAATAATGTCATCGGCTTAGAATTATTGTGCATTAATCCTTCTGCGAAACTACCGGGAGCACTCAGTATACTACAGTATTGAGTCGGCTCGCTCGCCGAGAAGGCTGGTGCGACGCCGGCCGAGACAACACTCACAGTGTTTTCATTGAAATAACAACAGATCATCGTGTTTGAGGCAATAAAATACTGACTTGTAATGATCTCACAGTCTTGAAAATTATTAGGCTTCATTTCTATGTTATATTGAATGTACTCTTTTAATGTAGAGATGTTTGGTGCACTTGGTACTCTTTTACTATCCGTCAAACATGGGGTTGCAGCCAGTAAACAACTTCAGCAATATTTTATTATTAGGCTAAATTGAAACAGCTGCCATTATCTTAAACATTGACTGAAAGGTAAATGTATGGTACCAAAATTCTCAGGAGACACTAGGCCTTTCAAACGAAACAGATGAATTTGACATACAGCTACTTTGAAAATTTTGAGTCTGGTACCTAGTATTATGCTAATATTTTGTTGTATTTGGTGTGAAGTCCTTTCTCGTTAAAATTTTGTTTGGTCTGTAAGTTTTTTCTCTGTGAATGGAATAGTTTTCTACTTTTGTATGATACCTAGTAGTGGCATAGCCAAGATAACTGCTAAATTTCAAGTCTCTATCTCAATTCTAAGACCCCCATTGCTATGGAAACATGTTGCTCAACTTTTGAGGCCATTTTCTCCTTTTCGTGTTTCCTCACCTCGCACTATTAAAAGTTTTGTATTTTCGTCAAATATGGTCATATTTACTTCATTCTTGTTTTAAATTGTAGGGAACAGGTGATAGTTTTTGAAAATAATGTTAACTCAGTTTTGAAATTTCCTTCATATGACTGATATTGACCGGCAGGGACACATGGTGGCTGTTTGTGGGAATTGTTATTTTTTATTTATTTATTATATTAAAAATTTATCTTTTGAAAGGGATAGGGGAGTGTAGATTTGCAAGTGGTTTTTTTAATGTTTTTTGTGAGACTTATAGTGTGGGTTTACCTTATTGCAACTGTCTAAGATTGAGTCACGAAAGTCAGCTTTCCATCTTTTGACTCTGCCTTTGCAAGTTTCATTGTTCAGACACTATGCTTGCATAACTCTAGAGGAGAGCATTCCTGTTTTTATTTTCTCAAGAAAGTGATAAGATTTTGTTTATAGGGGATAAACTAAGGTTTATGGTAGTTGTAGAGGTTTTAAACATGTACTGTCTTTTTTTTTTCATTTCACTATTCCCTTGACATGTGTATGTCATGTATACATTGTATTGATAATTGATGTTGAGAGTGATAGTTTGAAGAATACTACTGCTTTTCTGTTGTGTACCAAAGTTGGGTTGACACTCTATGAAGGGCCGTGGGTGAATTAGAGCTGTTGCTTTTTGGTCCATTATTTCTCTGTCTGTCTGTCTGTCTGTCTGTCTGTCTGTCTGTCTGTCTGTCTGTCTGTCTCTCTCTCTCTCTCACTCTCTTCTCCCTCTCTCTCTCTCACTCTCTTCTCCCTCTCTCTCTCTCTCTCTCTCTCTCTCTCTCTCTCTCTCTCTCTCTTTCTCTCTCTCTCTCTCTCTCTCTCTCTCTCTCTCTCTCTCGCCCTCTCGCTCTCTTTATCCCTGTTTCTCTCTGTTTTCTGCATGAACTTCAAAAATTGTCTGGGGACAGGTTGAAGGTTGATTAGTGTTGATAATTATGAGTCCTTTCCAGTTTTTGTCTGTGGTAACAGCTTCAAAGCATTTAAAATTAAATCTCATCCATTTACAATCTTTGCCAACTGCATGGCTGCTCAGTCTTTGAATTTTTTACTGGCTTTTGCTTTGGGCTGATGATTCAAGATGTGTCTGTGAGCTCGGGTTGGTTATCCATACCGTCTGCTATTTTGTGGTTTTATTTACACCATGCTACTTTTTTATTGGGACCTAGAGATCATGTGACAGTCAAAATGACAAGAGGATATCTTTTCTGGTCTTTCCTTTAGCCCACTTGCACTGATCTGGTTCTGGTTCTTTGAGGGATATATTGCGGAGAAGAAAGTTTGATCTATACTGTTCATATAATTAATCAAAAATTAGAAACAAAGGTTCGTTACAACACATTCAGATGTTTGAGATCAGTTGTTGATCGTTTTAATTCCTCAGTATAATTAAGAGGAAAGATACACATTTTAATGTTATTTCCAGGGCTGTAATCAGTATCATAATGTATGCCTCCCTGCTGACTGCATAACTGCTTGGCAGCTTGTGGGCATGGAAAGGAAGGGTGTGGCGAATGTTAGCAATAGGAATGGCTCTTCACTCTTCTGTCAGGACTTGAAAAGGCTTGTTTAGAGTTGTGGGGGTCAGTACTTGACTTCTGAGTTACCTGTCTAAAATATCCCAATTCTGCTCAATTGGGTTCAGATCAGGCAAGTTTCAGGGCTTAGGAAAGTTTTGAACATTGTTTTGTTTCAAATAGTCCATGTTTCATGTGCACGAGTTGTTGCCTTTAGTCTTCCAAGTCATTTGGCGGTCTGTCGTTGAAATTCTCTTGTCATATCTACCCAGAATTCAGCTGATTGTTGACTGGGACACATTAAAGCAGCAAAAATATTTACCTATCGTTGGCGTACAACAATTTTTACATGTATAATGCATGGATTACCCTTGCTTTTCCACCTTCAGTTTTATTGAATGGTCTTTTACAGTACTCGGACTGCCTTGCTGCCTTTAACAAATTTACCTGTCAGATGTTTGGCACGATTGCTGCCTCTGTGGGCTGGGATGTTCAGAAAGGAGAAGGTAAAAAAGTTTAACCAGTGATGCATGATTTCTTTTTTTGATACAGTGTTTCTTTTCTTTAGACAGTATATCTGATTGGGGTTTCTTTTCCTTGCACAGTATATCTGGTTGGGTTTTTTTTTAGGGCTGGGGGTGGGCGGTCCCTGCATGGAGAGTGTAAAAGTAAAAGGTACATGGTTCCACAATAATTAGCATTTTTCACTAAATTATAACTCTTGAGCTGCCGCACCTGTAGAATTTACGGGCCTGAACCCTGTAGCACTGTGCCTTTGGCCCGTAGAATTTACTGGACTGTGACAGAGGTTGTTTTGGTACTAATTATAAGGGAAGTTACTTCTAAAATCTTGTAATTATTATTGGGGTACCTTCCCTTTATGTTTACCTCAATTTCCTCCCCCCCCCCCCCCCCCCCCCCCCCCATTTGAAAGCATCAGATTCAGATTTTAGCTCGAATAGAAGATTAGATCTAGATCTAGATCTAACATGTCTACCACACAAAAATGATTTACAGGCAGTAAACACAGATGGGCTTACATGTATGTGGATTGTACGAGTGTTGTATAATGTAGGAAAAGCCTCTTTTCACTTCCTCTTTACCTGCAAACACTCACACAACATATTGTATTCTCCTTTTTAAAAAATCTAAGTTTACCATTACTGGAATGTGTGTTGTTTATTTTGTTTGATGGTGTTGATTTTGGCACCATGTTACTAACTCCCCAAGTTTTCTCCTTCTATCTCTCAATGAAATTTCCCCAAAATTTTATCAATAGAAATGTGGTTCAGTGTAGAATGTACATGCAGATATTCATGAGGAAATATCCATAAATAAAAAAAGTTATAGGATGTAGAGTGGGGTCACCCCTGGGCAGCCTTGGTTCATGGGATTTCCCCCGGCACAGGGGCCTATTTACCTACGGCATTGAAAGGGTTAAAAGTCTATTGCCACCGACAGTTGTAGCTTGTTTAAGTTAAGGATTCATGTATACTTTGTGACTTTTTCACACAGTGGGTGGGATCAGTTTAATAAACTCTTGTCGTCCCATATAAGATTTGACAGGCATGTTAATGTCTTTTTGTAGACATAAGGGGGACTGGTGGATGTTTGATGTGGTTTGCTTCTTTTTTCCTATAAAAAATATATCGTCCTTATCCCCCCTCCTTCTTTTTGTTTGTATATTTGTATCTAGTATCATTTTAGTTTATGGCACTTATTTGACGTATTTGTGTTGCAAAAGTGCCATAAAATTTGTACTAAAGCTAAACGAAACTTTCTGTAGACACACTGATGCCCATGCTGAGAGAGGTGGTCCTGGGGGTGCTGGGCGGCTGTGGGGACAAGGGGACTGTGTCTGAGGCCAACCGCAGGTTCGAGGCCCACTGTGACGGCTCGAGCAAGTTGCCAGCTGACTTACGCTCCTGTGTAAGTGGTGCCCACCAATGTGTGATGTTTGACGTATTGGCTATGTGTCTTCTTCTTTTAAGGTTAAAACAAATTGCATTTGTTTGCAATTAAATTGACAGCTTACCTAAATAATCTGTCTTATGAGCAGCTTTTTTCAGAATGGTTTGACTGAACAATAACAAAAAAATGGACTTGCTCAAAAATATAATATAGAGATAAGTAGAGTTATCCATCTAAAGTTGTTTTTTTAATCCGGTGTTTTTATGCCCCTATCAACATGATTTAGATCATTGAGGAGGCAGGCTTTGACCTGACAGGGATGCAACATCCTTGCAGAAAGACTAAGATACTCAATAAAAATTCTCTCCCCATTCGGGGAATTGATCTGGAGGTTTTCTATGTACAGTGGTGAAACACCTAACTGCTACACCACAGATGCTGGTGTCCTCCCTCTGACCCCTCTTTCTTTGACTCTTTCGGAGTACCGGTACCTATTAAATGCCACAACATCTTTTTTGTCTATTATTTCACGTTGAATTAATAGTTTAGAATCAATGTTAATTTTTTTTAGTATTACAAAGCCAAGAAAATGGTAAAGAATTATCAATCTATTGATTTCTTGTCCAGATTTTTTTGCTGAAATTGTTTGTGTTTTGTAGGACCCCAACCTACTTTCTTCGTGTTATATAAGATACATCTTTATTGTCCAAATTCTGGCACATTGGTTTGGTATTTCACCACGTGCGCACACACACACGCACAGGCGCACGCACACGCACGCAGGCTTACAATCACATGCCTAATATAAATGAGCAGCAATATAAACAATAATAATCTTCAGCTAGTTACATAGTCAATGTTATTCTGATGCATACTCTAAGGTCATATGAATACTTATTATACTTATAACAAGATGGTTGAGATGGAAGAATTTTGATGGATGATGGTAAAAATGACCTTCTGTATCTTTCTTTGTTACAGATCAGAAATCTAGGTCTTTTACTTCTGACTGATGTTTTTATTTGAGGGAATAAGGGATGTTTGTTGTCTAAAAAGAAGGAATAATTTTTTTTTTAGTTCAAGCTGTCATGTACAATTCATCCAAGTAGGGAAATGTAGATGTTGAAATTTTACATGCTTCCCGTATAAATCGATTTAATGTTTCTTTATATTGTTGTCTTGTGTTCCTGGCCCATGCTGTTATACAAAAATTGATCATACTCTCTATGGTTGAATGATAGAATATGGACATGAATGTTTTGTCAACTTTAAAATACATGAGCTTTCTTAGAAAAAATAGTCTTTTGTTCACTTTTTTTTATGCAGGAGAGAAGTTTGTACTCGCCAGTTGAGTTTGTTGTCTATTATTAATATCACTCAAATACTTATAATCTGACAAATCTAACACTTGCTTCTATGTTCTATATTTTAGGTCTACAGAACTGTTCTCGCCAATGGAGGGGAAGAAACGTTTAAGAAAATCTTGAAGGTATTTGCATAATTTTTAACCATTAAAATTTGTGCAGTTGTTGAAAAGACACCTTGCTTGTGTAAGTTTTATGAGTAAGTGTTTTTGCAAGGGTTTTTATTCGGGGGGGGGGGAGTGGGGGGGGGTTGAGACTTCATATGAATACTGCCAGTGATGTACAGATTAATATTACCTTTCTAGGATATCACTAATATAATGTTACCTGTACTAAAAGTTTAGTTTTACAGTGCCCGGGGGTGTACATTTTGCTGTCAGCACTGATTTTCAGCTCTGCTCGTTAGCCAGGTCAGCAGTCTCATCAGTTTCTGTATCAGTGGACTTGTTGTCTGGTTCCGGTCCACTCATGACATATTTAGACACCGAGTCTTCAACAATGTCACCTTGCTCAGCTTCCTCATCCTCATAATCCCTTTACTGTATTATTCCCAATCTTCCACGTCAGTTCAATCAACTTGCGTACTTTTAAGTAAAAAATTGCTGCCTGTTATTTTGGTGTTTTGCAATAACACACTTTTATATGCAAGACAAGGCCTACAAATATGAGCATTTTTTTTCTCCAAAATACAAATCCGCACTTCTTGTGGCTAAGTCTCCATACAGAAAAATTACAGCAGATGATTAGTGGGATGTACATGTATGTCCAATAGGTAGTCAGGAACGGCTAATTTTACCATCTTCTATGACGTTCATTGCACTCTTTGTGATGTACCATATACGTCTTAAGGCAACAAGTTTAAGCTCATTTAATTGTCCTCAACCCCAATTTCCTTTACTTGAAGCAAAAAAGAGGGTGCTCTAGATCTCTAGATGACTCCTGACTCAGGGGGCTGTCTGTCTCTAGAGCTTGTTACGATTTTGGATATAGTAAGAATTCTCTGAGGAAACCAAGCAGTTACATACTAAAGAAAGTGTGAGATTGGAATCCACAGGGAGAATGCCATATTCTCAAGGAGAATGCCACATAAAACCTAAAGCAGAGAATCGGATAATGATGTACAGAAAAGGGGGAAGATATGGAATAATATCAAGAGGCTGGCCCAGTTTAGGGAAAGGTGGAAAGCGCTTTTGGCCTATTCCCTGATGCAGGGTGAGAAAGGCAGTGATGATGATGGTGTAGTCAGAATCCATGGAGTACATTGTTTTTTCTACCTGGACCGAGCTTCAGACTTCACAGGAAAGTAGGACGTATTTTCCAACCAAGTCTGCCTGCCTTGCCATTGTGCTATCAACTGGGCTAAGTAAAGGTGTATTAGTACATTTTTAAAAAACAGATTGAGGACTATCTTGTTAAAAGATTCATCATGCTTGAAAACAACTTTTAAAACATTTATAATTATATGTTTAAGACAGTGTCGTCCATTTTTCTCCCTCAGCTTTATGATGAAGCAGATATGCAGGAGGAGAAAGTGAGGATCAGCCGCTCTATGGGTGCCGTGCGGGACGCCGAGCTCATCAAGAGAGTGTTGGACTTCTCCCTGTCTGTAAGTCAACAGTTCTTTTTCTTCCTCTCATGACTTGCCTCTTGTCTTTCTCTGAGTGGCCTGTTGGTGCATATGTCGATCCAGGTTTGAAAAGACATAATATGTCTTTGCTCTGTTTTCAAATTATGTCAGCCAATTAGCAAATCAACAGAGAGGATGAAATTTTGTATTGTATACTGAGAATTTGGTAAATTGTCAAAATGTTTGATTTACCATTTTGACCGAATGTTTCCAGAGCAAAACTTTGTGTTTGTGTGTTATTTTAAAAGCTATTTTTCTTTTATTTTGTTTTTGTCATGTGTTTCAGTATCATGGATTTGTTACAAGTTTGCAAAAAAAATGTCCATATCCAGATAGAAATAAAAGATTAAAAATGGGCACGTGATGTACTTTGCTCCTACTTCAGTTTTGTGGTTCTGGGTTCCGGATGTATCCTTTTGAGAATTTGTTCCCAGCAAAATGTGGCCATCATTCATGTTGCCTCATTGTGAGCTAAAAGTCAATAATGCAGCCAGTGCAAAGTGCTATATTATTTTATTTATATTTCATAAAGAGCTGTAAGGGCTGCATTTTATGAAATTATCAGTGTATCATTTATCTGTGTGAATAGCCTGGCTCTTCAAGCTCAGTAACCAGCGCCCGCGGGTGGTTGGCGGGTTCTCTGGTTTTGGTTTGCTCTTTCTTTCCTATCAGACATCTATCATCTTGATCTCTCCACCTTCTTTTTTGTGTTTGTTACTCTATTGTAACACCTCTAATCTTGAGCACTTATATGACCTTATTGTGTTGCTAGTACTGTAAAACTCTTTTACAAATCTAAACTAAACCAGCGCCTTACTTACAGACCTGCCCAAATAGCCACATGTGTAAGGAAATCTCTTGTACAAACTGTATAGAAAAGAAAATCTTTATCTGAATCTGAGAACTGTATAAGAAAATATTTATCTGAATCTGAGAACTGTATAAGAAAATCTTTGTCTGTATAAGAACTGTTACTGTATAAGAAAATCACTTGTACAAACGGCCCCTTCCCATTCCCTCCCTTTTTGTATTTGTTACATAAAAACTACATTCTGTATGGTGGCCTCCTTTCAATTTTCTTCTCGACAATGGGTGGGTGACTGTCTGAGAAAATGTTCACAATTTTTTTTATCTTTTGCGTTTGGTCTCCACAGGACAAAGTGCGCTCTCAAGACACAGTGTTTGTGATCGGAGGCACCACTGGCACTGCCCTGGGACGGGACCTGGCCTGGAAGTTCTTCCAGGATAACTTCGAGACTCTGAACAAACGTTACGAGGGCGGCTTCCTCCTCTCCCGTCTCGTGCAGGTACACATTCAGCTGCTGTCTGCTTTACTTTGCACGTGCAAGTTGATCTGGGGGGGAGGGGGGCAGACTGATTTTTTTTTTCTGGTTTCCCAACTTTTGACTCATGAAGCCCTCCCGTGTATAAGCGTGCTTTTCTAAGGCGTTCCTCTTTTTCAGTTCACCCACAATTGTTTCAAATTTTTCCAGACTTTTTAAAAAGTTATCTTAATACTTGATTAAAATTCTTTGAAAGAGGTGTTCAAACATATGAATTGGAAAAGTCAACAAATGCTTACCTCCGAAAAAGACCCCAAACAAAATACAAAGTAAAGTGACATGAATTACAAATTAACACTGGCATAAAAGTAAAAGAATGAGAACAGTTTGGGAAATGTCAGTGTGCTCTATTTGTCAATGGTAATAGGGTGATCTCTAGCAACAAGCTACCTTGTGCACGTCTTATGCCTCAGGTTTAGCTGGAGTCATGTAATCTATTAGTCTTGTTTGCTCATAAAAGCAATTTAGATCCTTCTAATCTCTAGAGGTTCATGAGGGGGAATGACCTGTAAAAATTCAAAGAGAGAAATATTAGAACCGAGGGAAAAAGATTTCTTAAATTTTTTTATTTCATTCTATTTTTGGAGAGGTATTTTGGGCAGAAGATATTCGGAGACGTCTCCGGCGAGCACCCAGGAACTATTTGAGACGCACTCCCGCACACAGATGCTCTGCTTTGGGGGGGGGGGGGGTCAAACAGCGTATTGTTTGCTGCAGATCACACATGTGGCTACTAAAACTGTTGCAGATCTATTATTTTCAAGAAAATTTCAAAACTAACTGCAAAATATCAAATTATGGGTTAAATGAGGGGAGCATCCTCCCTGTAACCCCCCAGATTTTTTTTACTTGGTCTATAGGCACAAAGCATTTTGATTGGTCTCACAGCTGTGACATCAGATGCACAACCCACGGGCGACCTTGATACATGACTTTAGTTTCAAAATTGACAATCAAAAATGAAGTTTGCTTAAGTTTAAATATGGCGTCAAATCAGGTTCTTCACGAGCCACTTTGCTTATTTTGATATGACTCCGAAAATGAAATGATTTTTTCGGGGCGATAATTGTTGTAAAAATTCTGCATACAAAGTTAAATCCCGCGCGGTGGCAAACTTCAAAGGGATTTTGCATCAATGCTCGCCTCTCCAATTCTGACGTGTGTGTGTGAGGGGGGGGAATGCCTGCTGTATTGAAAATGGTGGAGATTTCAAAACGAGTTCACCCCCCCCCCCCCCCCTTTATCAGGACTTTGAACGGAGAAAAGACATACTTGTTGGGAGCACTGACAAAATTCAGGTCTCTCTTGGATATGTATCCAGCACTTTCACATTAAAAAAGTTTGTTATGGACAGGATTTCAGCAGTCAGCAGTCAGACTATTATTCCTTAGATCCTTGCCCTGAGACCATTGCAGGATCTGTGCATCTGAGCTCACTTGGGATGACTTCTAAATTTGCCCCACTGCTCTCTGAGGGGTGCTTTTGATTCACAGAAGGGTATATAAGGTGTAGAGCGTGCTCAGGCTTGCAATCTAGTCAAGATAGTGACAGAAAAAGAAAGGGATGGACAGTCAAAATCATTACCTGAACATCATGTCCTGGAAATGTCCATGTTGTTGTGGTAAATGGTATGTTATAAAGATCAGATTGTACTTTGTTGACTGTTCATTGGTAATGTGGGATAATGTAAACACTCGCTCTCTCTCCTCCCTAATTCGTCTTTTGGATTGGGGTGCCAGCAGTCATTCCTAAATGGGATTTAGACTCTGTTAACTCTTTGCCATCACAAGCATCAGCGTTCTTGCAGATCGGCGAGATGTTACAGCAAAGGGTTAAGCAACTTTTTGTATTGTAACATTTTGAAGAAAGCACAAAAGAAAAACCATTAATATTTTCTGATCACTAAGCAGATAATCACTATGAAAATTCCTTACTCTGTTTCCCTGACACTTACCATGGTATCTGTTCTGTTATGCTGTTTGTAGTGGATTTTTATTCTGTTCAGAGCATTGTGTTGACAATTTTTTAAAATTCATTTCAGTCGACAACTGAGGGTTTTGCCACAGAAGAGAAAGCAAAGGAAGTTGAGGTAAGTTCTTTCATTGCACTGTAGTAAATCATATTTGCTCATGCATTTGAGATATATGATACATTTAACTCTTTCCTGTTCACCCCTACCAAAACTGGGTAGACACCCCCCATCCCCTCCCTTTATTGGAATTATCTTTTCTTTCTTTTTAAAATGTAGTTGTTTTTATGCCCCCATCGTCACAGTTTAGATCATTTAGGAGGTGGGCTGTCAAGGCCAAACCAGGCTGGGAGGGATACACAATCCAAGCAGAGAGACTGACACATGATAAAAAAAAAATTTTCTCTCTCGGGAATTGAACTCTGGTCTCCTGTGTGCAACAGTGAAGCTCCTAACTGCTACACCACAGATGCTGGTGTAAACTTGGTTTTGATTTAAATAGATACAGACATTAATCTGTAACCTTGTGGTCATTTCTAGTGGGGAAAGTGTCAGAGCTGGCGTCAGCAGTCAGTCTTTGCTTTCACTTTCAGTGAGTGCAAAATGATGTTCACTCAGGCAGTTTAGCAAATGGGATGATATTGTTAACAAAAAATGTACACAGGAAGGATGAAACAAATAAATTTATTTTATATACTCTTTTTTGTGTCATATGTTTACATTCTCTGATTTACATTTTCTTGAATGGTTTCCCACAAATCACCCGATGGCAGAAGTTCATCCCTTGTGAACAATAGAATTTAGATTCATGTAATTTATATGCATCTTTGCCCTGCTGTTTTGCCAAATTACAAATTGTTGTAAAGAATATGTTTGTTGGTTAGTACAACAACAACATCAGGGATAAAGTGGCAATGGCATGGGAATACAGCCTCTTGTGACCATTTTATGAAGGGGCACAGTATGCCATCTCTATGGGCAGAGAAGTTTTGGAATTCAAAGACAATAAGGTGTGGTGTCTAATGATAGTTGCAAAGCACATAGAGCATGCTGTAGACTGTGGATGTGCACTGTATAAATGGGATTATTTTTATTATCGTTATCAACGAAAATGTTCTTAGACTTTTGGAATCAGTGGGTGCTGATGCTTACTTTGATTTTTCTCTCACCTTTTTCCCCCGTTCCAGGCATTCTTCAAGGCTAATCCAGTTTCGGCTGCTGAGCGCACTGTCCAGCAGAGCATTGAGAATATCCGGTTGAACGCGCGCTGGCTTCAGAGAGAGCTGCCTGCCGTCACAGAGTTCCTGAAAGCTTTCAACTAAACCCGCCCATTTGGTAGGGAGAGAGAAAACACCCCATTCATTCTTTGGACCAATGCAGACCTTTTGTTTCCTACTGAAACGGGTTCACCTTTATCTTCTAATGTGTATTTTGATTCCACTTTTATTTTGGCAGATCCACTCAAGATTTTATTTTTCCATTTCCTTAGAAATTATTGAAGTTTTCAGTAAATTTGTGTTTTTTAGTCGGCTTCTCAGATTTGCCAAAAGTATTTTGTGTGTGTTGCTTCAGCAGATTGAAATAAACATATGTGGTTGCAAATTTACTAGAACTTTTTAAAATCTTATGCTATTGAAATTTGAGTTGTACTTTACAATCAGCAACATTTTACTTATTGCTCATGTCTAGAGTAGTTTTGATGTCTCTTTTTGGTACCTAGTTTATGATGTTGATAAAAGTTTTGTAATTGGTAAGCACTTAAGATTTACCTTTTAATCCAGACATCATCATTTTCTTTATCAACAGTATATCAACAGTTAGGCATATTTTTTTAGCAAAGACACATTTCTTTACATTAGATTAAATTTTTGACAGGTGTTTCAAAATACCCAAATGTCATTTTTGATGCTGGTCACTTTTAAACGTGTATGTTTTTGCTCACCAATTTTCCCTGTCCATAAATTTTGTGACTCCTAAATTTATAATTTTGTCAGTTATATGATAGTTTGTTTTTTTTTCTTCCTTTTTTATTGTCTGGCCCAGCATTCTGTGACATCCACACTGTGCTTTCATAACAAATATTAAGACTAAGACTTCCTCTTTTTCTTCCCTCCTTTGTGCTGTCAGGGTAAATGGCCTGTCCTTTAAGAATGGTCTATGGCTGTCTTGGACTTTTCAGAATAATAGTCTTTCACACACATAGTGAACACATACGTAGCAAACAGATTTTTCTGTCCGTAATTTTTTTTTCATATTCATATACATTCTTTGTATTTAAAACATGTGCATAGCGAGATTCATGGATTATGGAACGATTTCTGCAACCTGCTAATTTTGCTCTGTGCATTCTAGACTAGTTTCTTGATTTACCCAACAAGTTGTGAGATTTTTCTTGTTTCACCACTCCTCAGCCCTTGGTATTGGTGGGGGGAGGGGGAGGATTCAAAATTGCATACTGATCAGTGATTATTACATCCCTTTGTTATAAGTGTATGACATGAGACACTGATAATACATAATAAATCAGTTATAAAGGAAAAGCTTCAATGGCTCCTTTTTCATGTATTGAAGGAAAAGGTCACTTCTTGTATGCCTCTCAGAGATTTTTGAAAGTACTTATCTCATTTTCACATTTCTATGGCCGACGCAGCTGTTATTGGCAGCAAACCATTCAGAAAGGGAGGAGATGATGTTTCAAAATGGTCTTTTTTTTGTGTATCAAATGAAGGGTGACAATCTGTATGTTGAATCAAAATATTTGTCTGAGATCACATAGTACCTTTGTAATTCCTGTTCCTCTCCATCTGTAAACATTTTTTCTCAAAATCTCCACTCCAAGCACTGTCAGAGTTGTGCAACAAACTGGATGACACAATGTAACGTTAGCTTTGTCTGTGTGTCGACCTTTTGAAGCAGTATTTACGTCTATATGCCAACTTATTTGATGTTGCTGTGGTGATTTTTGCCCATGGCCACACAAACTTAATACTGGGTGCTTGGCGGGTGCTCTGGTGTGGTTTGCTCCTTCTTTCCTATCAAACATCTATTTTCCTTGTAAGTCTCTCCTTTTTTATGTTTATAATTTTTCTTCAAAGACAAACCTGGTATTTATTAGCATATAACCTGCAAAGTTGCTGTCGCGCATTGACCCTTCATTGGTTCTGCATGGGTGTGAAATGTTGGGCTTGGGTATTCTCAAGTCATTTGTCTCATTGGAAATGTTGTTTTTTTCTTCTGTTTATTCTAAATATTGAGGCAGTCAGTCAGAGACTGGTGCATTTTGTTGTACTTTTGAAAATGTAAGTCTTCTGACTGACATAGTTCGACTTACTTTTTAAAAAATTAGTTAAGCTTCTGTGTTTGTGTTGTCACACAGCCACAGATGATAATATCAGAGAAAACTGTGAGTGCACTGGAAATGCCAGTGATGTGCTTGTCTCTAGTAGACTTAATGTCAAACAAGCTGTGTAGGTGTATGGTTTTTTTTGTTTTTGTTTTTCTTTTCTGACAGCATGTAATACTTCAAAGGGTTTTCTTTTTTTAAGACTTCAGTTGAAACCATAAGTGTTGTATATGTTTCTAATGAAATTGGACAAGTTTATAAAATTTGTTTGAAAACTTAATTGAGTACGTGTGGTGTACATTCCTAAAGTGTCATGATCTGATGGAGTGTTCCAAGTCATTTAAAACTGAAACAATGAATGAATGTTCAAGTGTTACATGTATTTGTATTATTAAAAGAATACAACACTTTAAATTTGATTTTTTATAAATTTTTAAATACTGTTTATTAATCTGTTCTTCATGGTTCCAGCTTTTTCCAGACAGTTGGAAATATCTCTAATGACTCAAGTCTTCACTGACATTACTTACTTGAAGTAATTCATATCCGGGCTTTCACAGGATGCAAATGTACACACTTCTGTCTGTATTTTTTTATATTCAATCAAAATTCTTTAAGGCAGCCACCTATCGTCAAGGAGAAAAGTGTTTCTAAGGTAGATGTCTTTCACCATAAGATTAAAATGTTCAAAAGAAAAATGTAAGGGGGCAATGGGAAGTGGTTGTGTGTAACGGTGATTGCCTCGCACAGGTGGCCGTTAAGAGTCAGAGCAGTTTTGACTGTACTTGTTGTCTATGCCAATGTTTTACTTGTAAGGTTATAGTGCGGTCAAAAATTTGTAGTGCAACTTATTGTCAAATATCTCCTCAACTATCGAACATAACTCTCCAGGTGGGTGGTTGGCGGGTGCTCTGGTGTGGTTTGCTTCTTCTTTCCTATCAAACATCTATCATCCTTATCTCCCCTTCTTCTTTTTTATGTTTGTTACTCTCTTGTAACACCTCTAATCTTTTGGCGCTCATATGACCGTATGCAGTTGCGAACGCCGTAAAACCTCTACTACTAAAACTAACTCTCCAGTTTGTGCTGAGTGGCTTGTACCAAATTGTCTTAATAGATCAATGTTTTTGTAAACACCTGTTTGCTCTATTCTAGAAAATTCTTTAATGAATACTAATGAAACTTCCCAGTGGGTGGTTTCTATTCATTTTAAAAGGTTTACAACTGGGACAGTATCGCTTTTAAAAGCAAGTCCGTCATTTTTTTTCTAATCGTGAGATTATCTTTATTGAACGCTTGTTTTGAGAACTTTTAGTTTAAAAAAGTGTTCACTTTAAAATTAATTTCTTGTAACTAGTTTTGCCACTAAAAAGTGGTGTTATTGATGAGCTGAGACGTAAGCCATATATGCGTATACATGCAAAATGTATGTGTTAATGGGAAGTGTTGTGAACAATTCCATTTTCCGTGTGAAGTAGATTTTTTAGTATTTTATATGAATTAAAGAAGAAAAGTTTTTTTAATCTAGCCTTAATTGTTGTGGAAAAATATAGATCTAATTAAGTTAAGACAAATTAATACGAACTGCTGTGCAAAGTATGGGTGACATTGATTCACCTTTAAAAAGCTATTGGACGATAAGTTGCGCCACAAATTTTTGACAGCCCTTTAGTCTTTTTTGTCCAGGATGACACCATCTAGACCATTTAGGAAGCAGGCTGCGTCGACCCCTGTTTCGCTACCCATGTCTGGTCCTCTTTCTGTCTGTTTATCTGTCTATTCATCTATGTCTGAGAATCTTTCTGTTTATTTTTGTTTTTTTCCGTGTCTGTCTGTCTTTCTGTTATGTCTTTTGGTCCGTCCATGTCTCTTTGTTAAATTTTGTCTGTCTATTTCTGAATCTACCTATACCTATGTTTGTCTGTATCTATCAGAAATCTTTGTCTGTCTGTCTGTCTTTCTTTTTTGTTAGTATGTATGTTTATGTATTTGTGTCAATGCTTTTATGTCCTCTGTTTGCTTCTTTTTATGGGTTTTTATTGTTTGGTTAGATAAATCGCATGGGTGGTGGGCGGGTGCTTTGGTGTGGTTTGCTTCTTCTTTCCTGTCAAACATCTATCATCCTCATCTTCCCTCCTTCTTTTTTATGTTTGTTACTCTCTTGTAACTCCTCTAATCTTCTGGCGTTCATATGACCTTATGCAGTTGCGAGCGCCGTATAACCTCTACTAAAAAAAGATAAATCGCTGGGGCTATAATATGCATCTTTAAACATGTTGATTATACATAATACAGTATACTAAGCTTTTTATGTCCCACTGCACTAGGACAGAGAGGTGAAAACTGTCTTAATTTGGTCACAGTGTTTTTGATATTTTAGAAACAAAACTAAATATGTGTGAAACCACCTATACAGAGAATGGGCAGCATTAGTCGGTGCTGGAATCCACAAATAGTGACACAGTATTAATACGGGGTGCCCACTACGACTGGATCGGACCGATCGCCGACTCGGTCGCCTGAAACTGAAAACAAACACGTTTGTTTTTGAGGCGACAGAGTCGGACGATCGGCCCGATCGGCAGATCCCATCCGTTGTGGGCACCCCGCATAAGGGGTTCCATTGTATAACTCATGAAGGGGTTGGTAATGGATGGTTGGCGGGTGCTCTGGTGTGGTTTGCTCTTTCTTCACTAACAAACATCTGTCGTCTTTACCTCTTCTCGGGGGCTCTCGTGGCCTAGGGGTCATTCAAAGGTCACGGGTTCGATTCCGGGTAGATCGAAAATTTTCTTCTCTAAATTTGTCTCCTTTCACCTCATTTCCTGCTCTCTAGCAATGTTCTGTCGTCTGCTTTTGTCTCCTCTTTCTGCCCCCACCACCTCACCTCCTTTGCCCCTTCCTCTGGGCTCCTGATTCTTTCTGCAGCCTTTCTACTGCTACTCCTTGGCTTCTTCTTACTGCTGTCTTTCAGCCACACCCCTGATCTTCTGGTAGGAAAGATCTACACCTAGCCTTCTTGGACAAGGGCGAAAAATTTCGGAGGGCCCGTATGCAAGTTGCGCACGTTAATGATCCCTTGGTGGTCTAAAATCGATAAGAGTAGGCTTCGGCCGCCACCCGGGCAAAATTCAAAATTTCCTACCAACTGAATATATTAGGTGTGTCCCGCGCGCTCATATGACCTTGTGCAGTTGCGAGCGCCTTAAAACACTTTACAAAAACAACATTACCTCTTCCTTTTTTTTTTTACTCTCTTGTAACACCTCTAATCTTCGGCATTTATATGACCTAATTGTGTTATAAGTGCCGTAAAACGCTTACTAAAACTTGAAGAATCGTTAGGATAATTTGCATACACAATAGTACTCCGTTCAACTTGAGAACACTTTAGGTGAGCATCAGCAATAATAATACAGCGGAAACCATATATAACACGCCCGGTGATAACAGGGATCCGATAATAACAGGGTTTTTTAAAATCCCCGTTTTTTTCCTACTCTTTGACTCTGTTAAAAGTTATCAGCTATAACAGGGCCTCTTCGGATCCCAATCGGTTATAGCAGGGACAAAGGCTCCTTAACAATGTGTGAAAAGTAAGATAGATGGAGAGAAACACAGCGGGTGAAGGGAAAGAGGGCTGCGGTGTGCTGTAGACTTCGATCTAGCCCTAAGCTTTGCTACACGCACGCGTAATGTGTCATGCGCAGGCCATGGGAAACTACCCATGAATAAATACAGCTTGATTAGTCCACAAATGCTTCCTTCACTTGTTTTTCTGATTTAACTGTCCCCGTGGTTTTATGCACCCAGCATAATTTAGCACAATGTGATCATTTTTTGCATAATTTCTGAATATTTTCCTTTATCCTTCTTTGTTCAAATTAACAGAATCGCAGAATTTCACATTTTTTTGGGCTCAGTTTGCATAATTTCAGAATTTTTCTTGCTTAAAACAACAGGGACAGATTTAACAGGGATCTGATATAACATGACTTTTTCTCTGGTCCCGCCATCCCTGCTATATCAAGTTTCCACTGTACATTAAGTCGTATAACATGAAACCTTTACATTTTATTTTAGATGTTAACAACTATGGATTCTCTTAAAAAGGTAAAACTGAAAAAAAAAAGGAAATCCTGCCTCGAGTTCTTAATGAAAAGGGCAAAAGTCGTACGAAATCGTTTGGTAACCGATTCAACGCAGCCTGGGTCGGATGTTTGGATGCATCCACACTGTCCCTGCCACACTGATGGCACTTTCACTCTTGGTTCGACACCCCCCTCCCCTCCCCCCTTTCAACGTTTCCTCACAGTTCTATTGGCCATGTAATACCAAGATACACAGACTGGATTGACATTTTAGTACACTAGCAGGGGCAAAAATTGAAGCAAATTGCAGATGACAGCTTATGACGAATATACGAAAGCGACAGGCAAATTTCATTGGACACAAAATGCGGAAAGAAGCATTGGAGAATATTGTAAAAGTATTGAGGGAAAGAGAGGCAGAGGCAGACAGAGGGAAAAGATACTGGACACGTTGACAACATGGCTGGGAGCAGCAAGAACAACAGACACCATTGCTACAACGCAAGACAGAGTAAAGAGGGGGTCCGTGATCGCCCACCCAAGTCAGCAAGGCACCGGATGAAGATGAGGGGCAAAAATTATCTGCCAAGTGCCCAGGTCCGATCTGGCGTTTGAGTTTGAGTGTGCTTTTATCTCTTTTCTGAACATGCATCGAACTGCATCCACAGTCCACATCTAGTTTTTGAAAAAAGCATGAATTCACTGACATGAATACATAGCAAAAGCTTAAGGGGGTTGGGGGTGGGGTGGGGGGGGGGGGGGGGGGCTACACCTGACCTGAAGGCTTTCTCACTTATCAGTGGACCATATTTTACCATATTTCACACACCCAACAAGCATAGTAAGGGGTCTTAATATCAGCAATTTAAATTTGAGAAAAAAGTTTCGTTTCCATGGATACGGCGGTCGCGTTGGATTTTGTTGACATGTCTTACGTAAGGAATACCACACTTACTTTTCGTGGAAATTGATTGTGTTTTTTAAAATGCATGTTAGCATACATTGGATCGAAATATTTGTCTGTTGATTTTTTCCCCAACGAATTAGAAAATTTGTAATGAGTTTTTTCCCGAGGTAACATTCAAGTTTGCAAAAAATCCGTGAAAATCCACAGTCCAGACACCACCAACAAATTAAATGTCTATTCCATACATCAAAATTTCAACTGATACATTTTTATTATTACATCTTCTCTTCATTCACTGAACGTTTCATGAAGATTGGATGAGAACTGGTGGGGTTATTCAAAAAAATATTCAGAAAAATCGAGTTTTGAGAAACCCGAAATAGAAAAGTAAAATATTGACTTTATGAGAAAATGGTGGTGACAAACATTCCCGGTATGGGAAGAAATTAGGATTTTTGGGGGTTCTTATGCCATGAAATAATTGTAGGAGAAGCGGAGGAGGCAAAAAATGTCTACAACTCAAATTCCATAATTTTGAGCCGAATCGGGACTTCGGGGTTAGCGTAGCTCTTTGCCTGGGGAAGTGTGAGGATAACTCTTACAAAGATTTGTTTTTGAATTATATTCCTCACTGAGCACATTAACGAACAAGATCAGGATTCTCATTTTTATTGCTGTGCCTAGATACCTGGAGGTGTCATCCCTCTGACTCAGACTCAGAGGTTGTCGTGTAATGACCCTCTACCCTTCACGATCGCGAGCTGCCATTACACATATTATCTGCCATATCTAGACCAGTCCATGTTTTATGTTGTCCATCCATGTTCCTCTTTGTCTTCCCCTGGCCCTTCTGTCCCACATCTTTCTTCAAGCACTTATTTCACAATGGCCTCGTGTCATTTTAAGTGGCCATAGTACAGTGTATTGTATTTTTCTAGATTCTATTTTATTCCGCAGGGTTTGTCTTGTTTGGAGAATTTGACACACCTCATTGTTCGTCTTTTTTGCGCTCCAACCTTTTCTGGCTATTCTACGGTAGCACTACATTTCAAATGCAGTTATTTTGTTTTCTTCTTTCTTTGTCAAAGTCCGGGTATCAGCGCCATATATGAGGAAGATGTAGCATTCTAGCATTTTCTTTCTTAACGTGAGAGATAGTTGCCTGGATTTGAAATGTGTGAGCGTTTGGATCTACTGCTGTACAGGGTGTCTAAAAAAGAAAACCCATTTAAAGGCAATAACTCTGTCATCTGTTCCCTAATTACAATAACACTTTGAACAAATAAAACTTCACAAGGAGGGCATGACCTATGTAAATATGAAGAAAATCGATCTTCGTGTTCGAGAAATATCTAGTTTTAAAAAGTTCAATAAAAACTGGGTAAAGCGCAAAATTTTACTTCTAGTATAGTATAGTATAAGGTTTTACGGCGCTCGCAACTGCTGAGGTCATATGAGCGCTTACTTCTTTAAAGCTTTCAGCTACATATACAGCAGAATGATCAGCCCGCTTTGGTTTCAGAGCAAGGACTATGCAACCACGACAATCTCATCAGATTGGAAAGAAAGCGTGAAGGGTATTAGCCATCAGACAGAAGGAAGGGAGAGGCTTGAATTAATTTAAGAAAGATCTGCTTCTTGTTAAAGATTGGGGCATTAAGTACAGACAGGTGATTGTAAAGCAAAATAGGACCATGAAACACAATCTGCTTCCTCCCTCAACACTCCGTAACAGTCTAAACAAAACTCTGAAAGCATTTTCCCTAATAAGACAATCATCAAAGTTTTCCCTAATAAGACAATCATCAAAGTCAAGAAGGTGTTAATTCTTGGTGATCCAAACTTACTTTGTTTGTACTTGTTGGTGGTTACTATGTCGGTCGCTACCCTCTCGATGTTGAACATAATAGACTACTATTTTTGTTTTTGTGTCTGTGTATTTATTTGGAACAACAAACAAAACATTTTGTTTTACAACCTGTTTTTGTAAATGTAAACGTAACTTTGTACTAACTAGACTTTAGACAAGTCTAGTTATCAAAGAATCTGGAAACAGCTTTAATTCTTTGTCATCCAAATTTGCTTTGCAAGTCGTTATGATTGTCGTTACTATGTCGGTTGTTACTATGTTGGTCTTGTAACTTTCTGTACTGAGCATAATGATGTTGTATCACAACATGGGTTAACGATTTGCCAAGCAATTTTGTTTGGATTAGACTCTAGTCTAGCTTATATGATTGCTGAACCTGAACAATAATAAAAACAAATGATTATAATATGAAAAGGCTATATTTCATCGAATCTTACTTGATCAGAGGGAAGAAAGTAGGCCTACTCTTCTGTTTGTACACAGCATTTCAACGACGAAGAGTAGAAATACCTAACGGGAATTTCAAGACTTCCAGAAAAAGTAAAAGTCCCCCCCCCCTCTTTAAAAAGTGAAAAAAAAGAAAACATTAACAATAAAATCCTTTTAAAAAATTAAAAAAATAAATTACCCCCCCCCCCCCCCCGACACACATAATACAACATACACAACACATACTCTCTCTCTCTCTCTCTCTCTCTCTCTCTCTCTCTCTCTCTCTCTCTTTCTCTCTCTTTCTCTCTGTCTCTCTCTCCCCCCTCTCTCTCTCTTCCCTTTCTCTCTCTCTCTCTCTCTCTCTCTCTCTCTCTCACTCTCTCTCTCACACTCTCTCTCTCTCTCTCTCACACACACACACACATACACACACACACAGAAATTAGTAAAGAAAAAAAAATCTTTGTTTTTACACCTTTATTTTCTTTTTGTTAGCGTCATTCACAAACTGCCGTTGCACTTTGCATTTGTAAAAAGTTTGTGAGATGTGTGCTATTAGTTTCAACACCCATATTGCACGAGTAGTAAATTATACACCCTTGAAAGCATAACCGGCAAAGCTCGGAAACGGTTTCAACATCATATCTTCTTGCTCCTTGTCGACATTAGGTTTGATGCGACATTACCAGACGAACAGAAGGGTAGCACATTACTCGAAAGTCTTTTTCATGGAAAGCATTATACATAGTTTGTATAGTGCTGCACCTTTGTTTTCATTTCATTCTTTCTTCTTCCATTATTTGTCTGTCTTGGTCTAGTCGGGCAAAACCACAGCCCTGAAGATATATTGACGGCAAGCACTGGATGCATCCAAGGGCGCGAATTCGTAATAGTTACCGGCCTCAAAGTCCGCCGCGCTGGTGATGGGGTTTTTCAGGTATCCTAGATTTTTATAATCTGGATTGTCAGCAAGGCTGCATCTGTGGGGAAAATATAGTAGAGTTATCTATCTATCTATCTATCTATCTATCTATCTATCTATCTATCTATCTATCTATTCCCTACTTTCAACCTACAGTTCACCCTGCTGCAAGGGTAAATGATTCTTGGGCGGCGAGTACGACAAAGGCTCCGCACACATAAGGAAAAATACCTCTCGTCCCACGGCTGTAAAATATAATGTTACTTGGCGGTGAAGATAGGGGAATGAGCGAAAATTGCCTCATTTGCATACTAGCACCTGAACGAAGATATGTGTTTTGGTAAGTGTTTTACGGCGCTCGCAACTGCATAAAGTCATCTGAGCGCGCGCAACACACTGAACTTTCAGTTGGTAGGAAATTTAGAATTTTGCCCGGGTGGCGGCCAAAGCCTACTCTTATCGATTTCAGACCACCAAGGTATCTTCAACAAGCGCAACTTGCACACGGGACCTTCGAAATTTTTTGCCCTTGTCCGAGAAGGCTAGGTGTAGATCTTTCCCACCAGAGGATCAGGGGTGTGGTTGAAAGACAGCAGTAAGAAGGGACCAAGGAGTAGCAGTAGAAAGGCTGCAGAAAGAGTCAGAAGCCCAGAAGAGAGGCAAAGGGGTTGAACGAAGAGTGAAAATTTCCTAGTGTACGCCGTGCCTGAGGGAATATTTTATCATCTGCATGACGTTGATGAAACACTTGGTTAAAAAAAAAAGAATAATATCATAATATAGCCTACTGTACACACCTCCAGATTATATTATGTCTCCTAAATGTCCTCTCGTTGAAGTAGAATTTTGTTCGTGCAAAATTGTAAGGCAACGGTAATAACAAGATTTTCAAGAGCAAGCTCTTGAATTCTTACACACAGGAAGAAAAAATCTTTGAGTGTTCGTCTTCCACTAAACTCACAGAGAACGGACACCCAACGCGGAATGGGTATACACAGGGACAGGGCACACTGGTTATTTCCTTCATTTGACGGAATCTAGGGCAGCCTGATTTCCCCTTCATATATGGCGTAAAAGCTACACATTTGCCACAATGCTATCAATTCCAACTTAATTAGACTTTGACCTTGAAATCAAACACGTTCCTTTTTCAAGATTCTGAATTGAATCGGTCGTATTGTCCCAAATTTGGTAGCTTTTGTCCCCCATGAAAGAAACCCTGGTTGGTTGTCCCCGACTTAATTTAAATGAATCAACACATTTGCCACAATGCTATCAATTCCAACTTAATTAGACTTTGACCTTGAAATCAAACACGTTCCTTTTTCAAGATTCTGAATTGAATCGGTCGTATTGTCCCAAATTTGGTAGCTTTTGTCCCCCATGAAAGAAACCCTGGTTGGTTGTCCCCGACTTAATTTAAATGAATCAACACATTTGCCACAATGCTATCAATTCCAACTTAATTAGACTTTGACCTTGAAATCAAACACGTTCCTTTTTCAAGATTCTGAATTGAATCGGTCGTATTGTCCCAAATTTGGTAGCTTTTGTCCCCCATGAAAGAAACCCTGGTTGGTTGTCCCCGACTTAATTTAAATGAATCAACACATTTGCCACAATGCTATCAATTCCAACTTAATTAGACTTTGACCTTGAAATCAAACACGTTCCTTTTTCAAGATTCTGAATTGAATCGGTCGTATTGTCCCAAATTTGGTAGCTTTTGTCCCCCATGAAAGAAACCCTGGTTGGTTGTCCCCGACTTAATTTAAATGAATCAACACATTTGCCACAATGCTATCAATTCCAACTTAATTAGACTTTGACCTTGAAATCAAACACGTTCCTTTTTCAAGATTCTGAATTGAATCGGTCGTATTGTCCCAAATTTGGTAGCTTTTGTCCCCCATGAAAGAAACCCTGGTTGGTTGTCCCCGACTTAATTTAAATGAATCAAACTGGCAGTTTACACTATGTTATGTGTCATTGACGTTGCACAACAACAGCCTGTTCTAACAACCACCTGTCCAAGAAAATGACCTGTACAAACGATTAATCCCCATTTAATCCCTTGCACCTTTTTTTTCTCTAATGTACGAGTAATATTATAATGGCACCGTCAAAGACGTTTCATATATCCAAGACAACCACTGTCCTCCTCGGTAGTGGGTGGCTGTCTCAGAAAATTTCAACTAAAAAAAATACCTTATCGAGTGTCTCCCTCCACGTCCGGCTAGCCATCGCAGGAAATAATGATGCTGCCTGACTTGCTTTATTATCTCGTTTTATTAAAGGTGTGATTTGCAAACAAATGTTCACTGGACTAAAAGTGACAAAACAAAACAACCTCCTCCAACAAAAATGGTCATGATTTGCTTTTCTAACTGATCTAAATAGAACTAAGGGGTGGGGTTAAAATCTGTACAAGCAATCAACTTACAAAGCGTATCCAATCCCTGCATAATCATTGCCGTAGTAAATAGCGATCAAGTCCCCTTTACGAACAGGGATACGGTCCGCCTCGGGCACATAGTAGTTAACTTGGAAATCTGAGACCGTCTTCACGGGATTCTGCCCAATCAACTGATACCTGTGATAAGGATAAACATGATTTAAAACGTAAATCAAAATCGTTTCAGGACTCCAATGAATAGAATTGTGATGCATATAATATAGTGTAGTTTGTTTTCAGTTTGACATAATATTATACTTTGAGGCCGAGGAAGTAAAAAGAATAGACTGTACGTACATGAAGGTGCACTCTATAACGTATGACAAATATCGATCCTGGTACAATAAATGCTAAATATATCCATCACTGTGTAATAAATGTTAATAAGCGCTTTGCAAATACAATAAATGTCATTTCGCGTCCGACACAGAACCTAAAATGTCAATATTTGTCGTACTCTCTTCTGTCAATAATTGTCATACTCTCTTCTGTCAATATTTGTCGTACTCTCTTCTGTCAATATTTGTCGTACTCTCTTCTGTCAATATTTGTCCTACCCACTTTGGTCAACATTTGTCGTAAACGCTTCTGTCAGCATTGTCCTTCACATCCCCGTCAATATTTTGTTCTACTTATATCTGTTAGTATTTATTGTCCCACTCAATTTCGTTAACAGCTGTCCTTCATACCTTTGTCCTATAAAATTTCCCCACCTCTAAAAGCTGTCCCTCACACTTTTGTTAGTTCTACACACTTTTGACCTGCATACTTCAGTCAATAAGTGACCTGTACAGAACACACTCACGTAAAATTCCCTTCACCAAAGGACCTCCACACTTGGAAAGCGCCATCCCCGTAGCTAGAGCTGAAGAACTCCCAGCGCACTATGTGGCCATCGATAGGCACTCTCATGTATGGCACATTGCCGGTGAAGGCACGCCTGGGAGTGCCAGACATTTTAGGCTTTTCTAGTGGTGGGGAGTCCATGGTGACCTCTACGGATTCTTGGGCTGTTTGGACGGAAGAAGAACATTTGTGGTTGCAATACGTAACATAAACAACAAACAATCACAATAGCAACAACAACAGGAGCAGTAGCAACAACAACAACAACAACAACAACAACAACAACAACAACAACAGCAACAACAACAACAGCAACAACAACAACAGCAACAGTCAAAAGCAGGAATATTGTTCTCTGCCAGGTATTAATATACAATAGTATGTTTTCTAGAGGTAATAAATTATTACTAAACTGATGATACATTTTAATCTGATTTTTGTTAAATCTTCCGATACAACGATGGTCGGTATAGAGTTCTTAGTTTGCCTAATAAATTTTTAG